CTTCAGCAGAGCTGATTTGGTAACATGAAAATAGGCTTTGTGGATAAGAGGCCAATTTCAAGCTTAGGTTCTTCCAGGTATGATTTTTCTCATTAAGATATTGTTTAAGGCCTGTGCTGAAATCAATAAAATAAATGAGAACATTGATATTTTCTTTCTACGTGACTTTACCGAATAGAACCAAAGAGTATGGATCCTTGCAGTCACGAAAGCTTCAAATCTATTGACACTCGCCGAAGTGACATCGCTTCATGTGGCCATTACTCCCGGTGGGCAGCCGTGTCCTGAAAAGTCAGCAGCGGTTAGATACAAACTGGCAAAGTCCTGTCCCTTCAGAGCTCTAATCTGGCTTGAATGGTGGATCGCAGCAAATGTCATCGCAAAGTACATCACATCTCGACCATACCCAGCACAGAGACCAATCAATTTAACTCAAGCGCAAACCTTTTTCCCCAGTAAAATTCCCATTGTGCTGTGGGCATCGATCCAGAGGTCGGTTAAATTTCCCGGCACGGTAGTTCAAAGAATGGACACGTTTCTTATATTCCCCCTGGCCCAGTCCACCAACCAGTATAAAATCTCTTTCGTCGCAAGAACACCCATGAAATAGAGCCTAACCGGTTATTGTGCCCTTCCTGATGAAATTAATCAAATCTATCAATACACTGTAAATGGGTACACTACAATTGGTAATGGTGGGAGCAAGAAGTTGCATCGGTTTCATGTCATGAGGTAAAGACATTATAATTCAGAACTCTACAGCTAACAGTGCATCACCCTGTGTCAGATATTGGCCCAGGAAGATTACTTCACGAAACTATTTGAGGTCATTTCAATAGGCCTCTTAATTCACACGAAGGGTGCAATTTTTATATCCTCTGTACACAGGGGTGGAGCGAAAGGGGGGGCTGGGGGGGCTTAGCCCCCCCTGAAATTTTGGGAAAGTCGGTAATCGGGATAACCGGATATCCGGCTGCTGCAAAATGCTGGCTGTCACATTGTGCTGCCCTGCAGGCTGCTTGAGCGGCAGCTTTTCGAACTTATCAAACTTATTAGCCACGTCAGCGGCTCCGACCTATTAATAAACTCCGCGTTCAAATCCAATAAAATTTCGATTTAAAGCTTACGTGACTGCAGGGATTCATCTTCTGGGTTCTTTCGGAGATAAAATAATAAAAATAGATCAGATTTACCATGGAAGTCGAAAAAGATGGCAAGCTACCCTTTTTGGATGTACTAATTAAAAGGAGACCTGCTGGTTCAATGAGCCACTCTGTCAACAGGAAAGCTACCCATACGGATGCTTACTTAAAACCGGATTCCCACCACCATCCATCCCAGAAGAATTCCCTCATCAAGACTCTATACCATAGAGCCCAAAGCATTTCCGACCAGGAACACATTGCTAGTGAACTCAAGCACGTACACCAAGCTCTCAAGGCTAATGGTTACTCCGACTACACAATCCGCAAAGGCATCACTCCAACCATGAAGAAGGATCCTCTTGAGGAGCCATTCAAAACCATCACCTTACCCTACATTGCGGGGGTCACAAAAAATATCTCCAAAATCCTAAATAAACACAAGATCCAGGTCCGATTCAACACATTACATAAAATCCGTGATCTGGTTCCGTCTGTAAAAGATGTGATTCCAGACATACAGTACCCTGGTGTCTACAAACTAAGTTGCCTCTGTGATAGTAGTTACATTGGAGAAACCAAACGACGTGTCTCAAACCGCATTTGTGAACACAAAGCAGACCTAAAACACGGTAGGACGAACACTTCAGCCGTGGAAGATCACTGTTATAATTCAGTGGGCTCACATGACATTGACTTCTCCAAAACGGAGGTTCTCTGCAAGCCACCTGGCTACCATGAGAGATTCGTTCATGAGGCTATCCACATATACAAACACAGAGACAATTTCAACCGAGAAGATGGATTCCGGCTTAGTAACCATTGGAAAGACGTTATAAACCATTTCGGTTCTTGATTAATTATATTTTACGGTGACTTTCAGACCGCAGTCCATTCGCTGGTACTGCCTCTTAGTACCTTTCACACGACGGTCAATAGTATAGTTTATAGCATTTTGTATAATAATAAATAGTATAACAGTGTAATGTTTAACATAATTCATGAGGCAATATATAGTACTGTAATTGTATAGTGAATATACAGCAGTGTGGTATACAGTAGGGTTAGTAGAATAATACATAGTGGAATACTACAAGTCTGATATTTTATAGTCTAAAGTATAGGGTAGTGTATAGTAACGCATTGTATAATTCAAGGGTGGGGTTTGTCTATGGATACGATATTCTACAATGTAGTTTAGATTGGAAGGTATAATATTGTAATGTATAGTAGTCTAGTTTATAGCATACTTACAACGCAACACAGGACAGAGCAGCACACTGTGGCCGTTTCCTCCTCTTTCCCCCCCCTCCTCCGTTCCGAACATAGATGGACTCGTCCGTCTGAACAAAGCTCGTCGCTCTCCGTGGTGTTAATCCCTCATACTAACATCATGCTAATCCCCCAGTTACATGCTAATTTACTGTTGATATGTAAACTCCTCTCCCCCCTCCTCCGTTCCGTACATGGATGGACTCGTCCGTCTGAACAAAGCTCGTCGCTCTCCGTGGTGCTAATCCCTCACACCAACATCATGCTAATCCCCCAGTTACATGCTAATTTATATGTAAACGCCTTTGTCAAGGCGCTCTGTTCCTCTCACACAGCTTAAAAGACGCTTCCAAGCTTTGCAGGGTTCACTCAAGCGCTGTCTTCCAGAAAGTCCTGTTTCTTCACCTGAGGAAGGCTACTTGTGTTGTGGCCGAAACGTTGTGATAATTTTATTCTGTTATTATTTTTATTATTTTATCTCCATTCTACTTGACTTTACAGAAAGAACCCAGAAGACCAATAAAATTTGTTTTATACATTTGTGGCGCCCATTGGAAAACATAAACTGGATATCTCAGAATATTGAAGTCAGCCCCCCAAAAGTCAAAATCCTGGCTCCGCCCCTGCATGTACAGAATGCTTGTTCCATGTCAGTCAAACAGAATTTAACCAAATTAAGTGAAACAACACATTTACTCTGATGGGGTTTTTTTGTGCAGTCATTGTTGACCGGGCTGAGACTGTGAGCTTGCCAGACTTGAGATTCCAGGTTTATTCACGGACAGCTGAAACCTGGATTTGAGCCCAAGCTCTCGGTGGTGCCAGCCATCTCAAACCTGACCAACGGCTTTTGTCCCACATTTTTCAATGGATATTTTCCCCACATCCTACTTAGGACCCCTGTTTTTTTGTTCTTGGGTTGTCAAAGGCACGGACGCGTCCTGTAAATTACACCCTCGTTCCGAGTTGAGGCGCCACCACTTGCCTGTGGGGTCTTGTCCATCGCAACTGCTGCAGTCGCCCGTGCCTTCGAGGAAGCACTCCTGCTCTGAGCTCGGCGCCACCTCTCGTGCCGCACTGTCCTGTGCCACCGCTGTAGTGTATTGGCACCAGGTGTGATCGTGCGTGTAATTCGAATTAACAGCCGCTTGCACGCAAAACCAGAAGTGGATAGCGTTGAGAATGCCGGTGGCTCGGTGTTTACGCCGACCGCAAGCTGCGCACAGCAAATACGCTCCCGCCTTGTGTGTACATAAAATCAGCATGAATGTGTGCATATACAGGTGGAGCAGTGGCTCAGTGATTAGCGCACTGCAATGTGAACAGGGCCCCCTGAGTTCGATTCCCGGCCTCGGCTAATATCGTTGACAAGTGATGTCTAAACCGTTTCTTCTCCCGCTTCATCAAGCCGCACTGAGGAGCCTGGTGAAGTATAGTCAAATAACACCCACGACCGACCTGGTGTGGGGGGGCCTTCATCCACAGTAGTGGATTGATAAAGGACTGACATTTTTGTACATATACAATGTGCTCACTGTGTGTAGACCATAGTGTGGCATAATAAATGTTATGTATGCAGGCAAATTATGTAATGCGGTACAATGCAATATATACGCTCCATATATATAAGCATTCGGTAGCATCTATTAATTACTTGTTGAGCTTGAAAATAAAATCCTGCATATCGGAATATGCATTTTAGTGGTCATGCTGCCTTTGTGCATGCGCTTCCACAGAACGCGAGGACAGCGTTAGGAGAGCCACACAAGCGAATATTATTATTTTTAGCATTCATCCCTAGCAACGGTGAATTGTTATGAACCAGTGCACTGTGCTGTTCATTGCATGTGCAATAAAGTAAGTTACGTGTTAATGGATCCTAAACCGGTCTGTAAAACACGATTGGTATGGTTTTTTTCCCTCCTTGTGCAAAGTTTCCGCTGTATTCCTTGTGGTCGAAATTATTATGCCTGCATCGAAGGCACTGTTATTTGTGTAAGATGCATTTCGGGGATTGTGAAGGCTCGATGTAAACATGTCTATGGGTGAGATGTCTGTGGTTCTTTGTGGCCACGTTTCGCAGCGTTGAGGGCACGAGTTGTATCTGCAAATAAAAGTAGGGGCAGTTCTGTGCTTTCAGCAAAATATTAAAAGGGCATGGCACCGTGACCTGCCATTTTCCTCTTGCTGTAAGGCTAATATATTGTTCACATGAAAGGGCATCTGTTTTTTTTTATTAACCGTTATTTGAATTGCCCAATTATAGTTGGATTATTTAACATCAAACAATAGGTCAACCGCCCAAGTGCCCTTTCGTGTATGTGCGCGCGTTTTTGCAGTGATTCACTTCCATGCTGTTTTTACCTATAAAGCACAGCTGTAGATATAATACGTAAAATAAAATGTTTCCAACAGCCTAGGAATTTACTGTACATTTAATATAAGTGTATGACCTGCAGAGTATGCGTTTGCTTTTGCAGATGTAGTTGTGCATGCATGTGGCGTGTGTATCTGCATACTTGACGTTGACGTCTTGATATTTACACCCACGTGCGTACGTGTGTGTATGTGTGCGCACACGTACAGGAGGCATGGCAGCTTCGGGAGGCCCCCAGCAGTGCGTGTCGCGTGTTCAGCTCACCATTTCGTGCCGCAGCCTCCTGGACCGAGATATGCTCACCAAGTCCGACCCCTTCTGCGTGCTCTTCATCGAGTGCGACAAGCAGTGGATGGAGGTGAGCAGCAGCTGTGAGCACTACACGGCACGCTCAACCGCTCTGCGGGCGTTTTTCCTGCCTCACCAAGTGAGTGCAGGAGGTGGCTGCGTACGGTTCACAAGTGGGGGGGTGTCATGGTGTGCCGCAAGGTGCAGAGCCATGCCAGCACTCCTGCTGTGCCAAGTTTGGGAGCCCCGGGAAGATGAGATGGAAAATATTACCGCCTTACTCTTTCTGGATGGCTTTCTCATACACGGGGAGTTTGTTGTGGTCCACCCTGAGCCGCGGTAGATTACTTGAGCGAAAATTGTCTCAAATTTCTGCAGTTTTGATTGGTTTCAGTCATGGTTGATTCTGGACCCCCCCACCACTGTTTGGTTCAGAAGCCTAAAAAATTAAGCCACATTTTTCAGCACAGTAATGGTGGCACGGACAATGTTAGCTGCAGCATTCTTCTGTTTAGCCGTTACCAACAGCAAATGTTTGTGGGTAGAATACGTGGTGTCTTGGCAGTACAGCTTGAAATATAACCATATGATACTATACACGATTATATACAAAACTAAACAAATGCTGTGAAATCTACATTTATGTGGCTGTGCTTATTGATGTGTTGTTATCTGTAGAGTTCACGTGAAAAATAATCCTGCCGCAACATATGTTTTACATTTTGCACAATTTAAGGCAATTTGTTCACAGTGATGGGATTTCACAATGCTGATGATGTCGTATAAACTGAAAGGTAGAAGACGAGGTTTTAAATTTGCGATGCCCGCTCTCTGCTGTGACTCTGCATGCGCAAATCGACAGGTGGCACGCACCGAGACCATCAAGAACACGCTGTGCCCAGACTTTTCCCGGAAGCTCGTCATGGAGTACCGCTTCGAGGAGGTGCAGAAGCTCAAGTTCGCGCTGTTTGATGAGGATGCGCCCTCCGCCAAGCTGGTCGACCACGACTTCCTGGGCGAGATTACCAGCACCCTGGGGCAGGTGATGATAATACAAATATTAATTATAATGCCCTTTAATAAATTAGAAGAGCCTCACTGTGTGTTATGGCTTACCTTGAAGAAGGGCCACTGCATTGGGATTTTTGTCCATTTCCATGAATTAGTGTTTGGCTTCATGTGGGAGGAAAGCAGACTACTGGAGAAACCCGCAAGTACAAAGGGATAACACAGATATATTCAATAAACATGATCATGCAATTTGTTGAATCTATGCTAGAACTGTGCCTATCACTGTACGATGATCTCCTGACTACCACATAGAAACCCCATGCCTGCAACATGTGGTATGCATTGGTTGCCACGGATCTAAACGCTAACCAGACCCATCCCTGCTCCGCTTCTGAGATTCAACAAAATTGGTTGTGTTGGGAGTGATTTTGGTTGGAGGCCAGATTTGGCAGCTCTTGTCTGCTCTTTGAGTTCATGGTCTTGGTTTTATTTTGCACGATGTTTTTTTCTCTGCCACCTTCCCTGTTTTTTGCTGGCAACGAGCAATGGTTGGCATGGCTGCAATCGACTGGCCTTGGCTGCCAAATGTTGCTCGGCTGATGATTTTTACAGGGGCTGCGTTGTTTGCGTGAGCGGCCACGTTTTATGAGGATTCGCGAGTGTGTTTCGCTGCAGGGGGTCTCTGCGTGCATTATTTAGCTGAGTGAAGCTCGCCTCAAACCTGTTGAATGGTTCCTCTTAACAGCCGTGTTCTGGCATCCGCCATGACACAGCCTTAATAGAGTCATCGGGTTATAATATTTTTAGCGCTTTAAGTCAAATGTTAAGACAAATACAACTGCCAGTTTTTTTTTATTTTTCTCGTGTACATTTCTTTCTTGTTGAAAGTGTTGGTGGTGTTTGCTCTGACAGGGCACGATACCAGTACCAGTTGGTCAGATGGCCTTTGAATTTTAAAGCTATAATTTGCGTCGATGCCCACTCAGTGCGTGTTTCAGTGTTAAGTGTGAGTATTTTTAATACATGAATACATAAATGTTTGTATAAGATGTATTCGTGATCACTGTTTAATGTATACATCACTGCCTAATAATTATAATAGAGGGCCTAGTTTAAAGTAAATTAGCATGGTTGCTTGCGAGGATTCATTCCTTTATTCGCCATTTGTTCCCGACTTACGCAGGGGCTGAACTGCGAGAGCAAAAATCACACACTTGATTGAAGTCACAATGGCTTGGCTTACTCGAAGCTCATTTAATACACCTATTTAAAATTCTAAGTGCACTAACGCTTTGGTGGAAGTTATTTTTTCAGGAATACACCCTGTCGCGTTTCTTTCTCTGCATCTTCTAAAATAATGGCAAACCTTAATTACATATTCTCCGTTAGCTTGACTGCGTATTAAGTGTGGCAGCATTGCGGCTTTGCGCAATCTTAAAATGTATGTATTTAGTGACACTGCGAGTCACATTCAAAATTTCTGTTTCACCTCAAACATTAAAGCAGTGAGTGTACGCCAACTATCATCCGGTGGTTAATTCCGCATCATTATTTGGCGCGTTTGTGCATCAAGACTGTTGCCTATTATACAGCGAACGTGCATATTTAATCGCAGCAAATTTGATATTTTTTTGTGCCTCGTTGCCCATTCAGTTGGTGACATAAAAGAAAATCGTTGTTTAGTCGCAGTTTGTTCCCCACAAAATTAGAGAGGATCAGAACTGGGACATCTGTGCAGTGACAGCGCACGTCACCATGGCCACCACGTCATCTCGATTACAAAGCGTGATTGATGTGCTCTTCCACTATTTTGCATTTCGTATGAAAATGATAATCAACCGGCTTTTGGTTTTTACTCATTGAATGGGGCCACTTATAAGAGCGTGCCGTGGCTGCACAAATACATGCGCACGTGTGTGTGTGTGTGTTTGCACGTTTATGTGTGTGTACATACAATGGGGAGAAAGAGTGGGGAGCGTTCGTATATTGGTTAGCGCATTGCTTTTAGAACCCGAAGCCCTGAGTTCGATTCCCGCTCATGGCGACCATCAGTGCCGAATATTTTAACCAGTCCTGGGCCTCCTGTAGATGAACTCATACTTAAATGAGTACCTGATACGATAAGCAAACATCAGCACTGGGGAGACAAAGGCGGCCGGGCATGGTGCTGGCCACCCACCCTCTCCATGTGCCATGCTGGCCTAAATAGTTCCTCGCTATCAGAACCTGCTCCAACAGTCTGTATGGCTACAGTGGGGAATCTTTGTCTTTGTATATGCCCTTGAATTGATGTTGGGGAGTGGGGTTTTGTCTTTTCAGATAGTATCGCACAGAACGTTGACACGTCCACTGCTGATGCAAGACGACAGACCTGCTGGCCGAGGCACCATCACGGTATGGCAAGTGCCCTGCGTCGCTTTCACTCCGGGGTTACACGGCTGTCCTCCATCCCTTGAAACGGGGTTCCTGTGGAGCCATGGGCAGACGCACAGGTTCTCAGGCTGAGCGCAGTGTCATCTCCTTTAATGGCTACATCTTCCAGCTGCTAAATACTGAAGATACGAAACCTGTGACTGAAAGGCACATTCTTAGATAAAAATGTTCTTGTCTTAGTCTCTTAATTAACAGTCTCCAATTCAAAGTTGATACGAATTTTGCATAGTTTGAGCATGCGTTGAGAACATGCAATGGGAAGAATTAGAATAGAGATGCCGGTGCAAGTGAGAAGAAGTAGGGTGAGATGGAGGGATGTGGTGGAATGAGATATTAGGACAGTGGATGTGACTTAGAGAAACTTCACGAATAGAAGGACATGGAGAAATAAACTGCAAGCAACTGACCCCTTGCAATAATCGGACTTTAGGTTTGAAAAATAAGAATTTACAGTATTTTTTTCAACAATCTCTATTGCGATTATATGCTGGGTGAACAGGGTGACTTGATGTGTCTCGACCAGCAAACAGTTGCAGCTGTCAGGCTTACATATTTTAAATGTACTGCATTGTGTACACGTGTGTATTTTAAACAGCATAGCAGTGTGTTGGATTTGCAATAGCGTCTCAGGCCAAATGCATATATGTATCCAATAATTCCTGGGGTCTTTCGGTAAAGTCACGTCGATAGGTTCAAAGAAAATATTAAAAAATAACAGAAAACTACGACGTTTCGATCGCAACGCAAGCGGTCGAATTGTCGTAGTTTTTTGTTATTTTTGATTATTTTCTTTGAATCTATCTACATGACTTTACCGAAAGACCCAAGAATATGAATTCCTGCAATCACGAAAGCTTTAAGTCAAAATTGTATCCAATAAATCACGTGTTTTTATTTCCACTGCTTGCTAGATGGAATTTATACAAATGCATGTAATATAATAGGGTTAGATCAGATGATGGCGGGCGTGGTGCATGGAAATAGACATGTTATTCGCGAGGTCATAGGTCGAACGGGTCACAGCCGGCCGTGGCAGCTGTTAAAGTGAGAATGCCACTCGTTACAGTGTGAACCCTTCAATTTCACACTCCTTTCTGGCGTGGGATGAAAATTACACCTATTTTATCAAACATTTTATTGTCTTCAGTTGATGTGGTCAGGTTTCTGTTGTACGTCATACAGAGGATCTGCTCATCTTTGTTTCTACTAAATTGAGTATTCTGTATATATAGTAGATTCCTGATAATATAAATGGAATAGGAGAGTTATTGTCTCTGTACCCTAATTGCCCATTTGATCTGGAGCATCTGCAATGGCTTCAAGCACCATTAGAATCCATATGCTCCTCATCAGGATAGCAGTAGAGCTGTGCCTGTATGGGGCAGTTAGGAGGAGAGAGGGAAGGAGTAACTCAGTTCGTTTGTCTAAGCGTGTTCGACTGTGTGTGTGTGTGTGCCGCATCCCAGATATCGGCCGAGGAAATCACGGACAACAGAATAATCACCCTCAGCATGGCGGGGCGCAAGCTGGACAAAATGGTACGTGTGAGATACGAGCACGTCAAGCTGCTATCGCCACTCGCTCCGTGAGGCTCGATGCACGAGGCTCGATCATGGGCCCCGTGTGTCCACATCTCCACGTGCCCATTAAAACCAGGGCGAGGAAATTACCCACTGCATCTATGTGTCAGGTGGTCTTGTGCTTTTTTGCGAGTTTTATTTGTTTTTTTCTTCAACTGTAGACATGTCCTCTTTATGCATGACGCAGACGCCCACTGCAGCGCAATCACATGGATTGCGAACAACAATGCTCATTGTGGTTGTTATCTCCGACCTTTGAGCAGGCATGCTCACAGGGGCCTTGTTATGTTGCGCCGCTTATCCAGCCTCCCACAGAGTTGGCTTTTTAAAATATTATTCTTATTATTTGGTTTCACAAGTGAACCCACTTTATCATTAAAAAAATGCTACACATTTACTGGCAGCTTGAAAGCCACACGTAGCTCGGACTGCTAGCAGAAGGACTATTAAACCCAACTTCAAAAGCCCCTAATGGAAACTGCAGTGAAATAGTTATATTTTAATAAACACATTCTCACTCACTTTGAACGTTGGTAAAAGTGATCCATTATTGAGCACTCATTCATTTGATTGGCTGAGGCTGCTGTTTTGGTGTTGCAGGGATGGTGTCTGTTGGTGTGCAGTATTGTTCGAGAAAGCTTTTGCTGGACTACGATTTTTGGCACAATGATACTGATGCTTAATGATTTATACGACCGTGATTACAGAATAACTGTTTTCACTCCCCCCTCCACTATATAAATGTTTAGAGGCGTTTGCATGTTCATTAGTTACAGAGGCAGGCTGTTCCCCTGAGTGAGATTGTACTGTTTATGCATGAACCTTGACAGGTGTAGTCAACAAAAGGGATTTTATGTTTAGATAAATACATTAATGTTGCTTCCTGCTACTTTGTTGCTTGGCCAGACTAGGAATATAGAGGGGTTTTTTTGTTCATATTTGTTACAAGGAAGGTGAACTGAGCAAGCTATTTAAATCAGAAATCAATACTTCAGTTACTGTGAAGGGAGTGAAGGCACCGAGACTACTAGTGGTAATTGGAAGAGTAACTGGTGTGCCGAGGATTATGGAGGATGGAGGGATGGGGGTGGCTTAGGACAAGAGCCGTGCTAGTTTAGATAACAGGGACTCAGATGGAGAATATGAACTATTATTTTTTTGTCAGTACAATCATGTGAATCTCATTGTGTAGATTGTCGGGCAAAATGTCAATCAATCTAGCATTTTTCTACTGTATTTGAAAATGAGATGGGCTTGGGTTTTTTTGTATGGTCCGGGTAATTTTGGTTTCAATCTGGATGGTGCCTGCATTTCCTTGCCCAAAAAAGTGTTATGTCAAGCCCCTGATTCTTGTTTACCATTGTCCTGTGTGTGTTTCTGGCAGGACCTCTTTGGAAAATCAGACCCATATCTTGAGATTTACAAGCAGAGCCCTGATGGCACCTGGATGCTGGTGCACAGAACCGAAGTGAGTGTTTGTCATATTACTTAATTCCTGCATTCTTAATTTTGGCATTATCGTGATCACAAACATCACCATTATAGTAATCAGCAGTGCTGTTGTCCTCACATTCATTGCCATCTTTTGTGAGTCTCTTATCACCAGCTTTCACCACTCGAATGTGTCTTGCTTAAAACCCGGTGAACATCACACACGCCGTGCTTTCCCCAATTGGCACCTATCTATTTAGGGGGCCTTTAGTCTCCCTGGCCCAGACGTAAATAGCCACCGGGATGTGTTGTGCCTTGCGAGCAGCACCCACCGCCCACACTCCCGACACATGGCTCCGTGCCCACTCCAGCTGTGCTCTAACGACGCCTCTCCTCTGGGCACACCCCTCGTCCCCTCAAACAAGTCACGTGATTGGCCAAACCATAAATACCCCTTGTTCACGGTGGAGGGATCAATGCTCATAGGAGTCGGCGATGTCAGAACTACAGACAAAAGTGGAGGTTGCCAAGAGCCGAGCGTGATGATGAACGTGCTTATGGCGGTCTGTCTGAAGCGGTGGTGATGACACTATCGCTTCAGAAGTGGTAGTGATGAGACGGTTTAACTCTCATTTTAGCCATGAGCACTTACATTTTTTTTGACATTTAAATCCAGTTACTGCTGACCAGCCATGCTGATCATTGGCATCAACCAATGAAATCGTTGAGATGTGCTGGTAACGAGTGGACAGTCAGTCGGCTCATTGACACTGATTAGTGACTCCAGTCATTGGGACTGAGCAGTCGCTAGTGACCAGTCAAGCACATAATTTTCATTGAGCAGTCCAGTCAATGAGACTGATTGCTCCTTACTGGCAATGAAACTGTTTGCCTCCCCGAGCGATTTGATAAAACGCTGCCATTGGGAGTTTAAATTTGATTTGAGAGTGGATTATTTTTTGCCTCGTTTTTACATTCTCGTTTGTCCACTCTCGCTTGTCCTGTGTTTTTCACACCATTAACTTAATTGTCACAGTTTCATGTAATAGTCACCATATAATATTAATAATAATATACAACGCTTTATAAATGTACTTCTGGATGGTCTCCGATTATTAAAATATGTAAATGACAAGAATGCCCATCACAACATAAAATATTAGTGCAGACCGGAAAACACATAGTATTTTATCTCATTACTCTGATAATGCGTTGTCTTTGTGCTGTACGTCTTTTGGCGTCCTCTGGTCTAACACCGTTTTGAGACGAGGCTCAAAAGAAAGCTGTCTCTGGTGTGGACCAATCAGTTTCAAAGACAATGCATACATTATCATTGTTTTTTGTTGGCATTCTGACCACAAGTATTGTGGTTAATGCAGACATGATTCCTTGTAAAAGGTTTCAGTTTGGTGTTCTAACATCTTAACACCTGTTTGTTGCCAGACAAAAGGGGAAAACCTATTCTCACATAGAATTAACCCATACATTTACATATTTAACAACATAACTCTATATGGTCTCATAAATGCAGTTGATCATGGGGACTTTTGACCATACTTCAACACGCTTTATGCACGCTGGTCAGTTGGGGTTGATGAAGCTGGGAACCATTGACATGGGAGTAAAGAACTGCAGTACAACGATGGATTTTGCATTGTGGTCACCCATTACAAACATTATCCAGACTCACCCATGTTTAGTTTCTGTGGTCTGACAAGCTGAAGTTACATTCTGAGTGATTTGGTCATTGGTGTAACATGATCACATCCCGGGATCGTGAAAAACGATGGCAGTTTGTCAAGGCCTACATCCAGCAGTTGATTGATCATGGCTGATGATGATACCATTATCAGTAGCCTAATATATTTTTTGCAGTCTTATTGCACATTTTTCCTTCACTATTTTTCTCGAACATATCAATATATATTTGCTTTGCAAAGTCAAGCAAACACGGCTTCTTGACATTCCTGAAAAAAAGTTTGCAATATATTTTCAATCAAGAATGTAGATTTATATTTAAATCAACTTCAGGCCAAATTATGTTGGTTTAAATTTGCTTTGGAGCTGTTACGCAAGAGCTGTGGATACTTTTGGCAACAATTATCCTCAGCGCTCAGAGGTCACTCAATAAGTGGAAGTATTAATTCTAACCAATTTTTTTCCAAGGAATTTTAATCGCAAATTTAATTTTCATTACATTATTAATATTATTTAATGTTTCATAAGCCAACGTCGTCGTGACTTGTGGGTATATCATTGCACTTGTCCAGGCTAGCCCACTGAAATAATCCTCAATGCCAGGCTTACATTCGAGTCCGAAGTGAGGGATTCTTTTTTCCGAGAAAATACACGAGCTTTGGGTGAGATGCACCTGGGCTTCAAAATATTGAGCCCAACGGGTATTCAGCAAATGATGTAACACAAGCTATTAGCTAAAGGGAGAAGGCGACTAGGACGAGCAAGGCTCAAACCTACTCACTAGCTTTTATTCAAATACAGCCTGTGCTCTACAACGTTCCGAATCAGGACTGTGCAAGCTAGCACAAGGTCATTACAAACAGCGCCCGTAGAGGACTGAAGCAATTGGTGAACCAATGCCCCCAGACGTGTCAGTCTATTACGCACTTGCGCAACCTTGCGCTCTTTCATTTTTGGACATCGATTTTCTCAAGAAAGAAATATATGTATGGAATATTTGTTTAATCAAAAACATGTTTTATTTGAATACAAATATTTCAGCCCCACCAAAAATGTATAACAGCCCACCCATACAGTATTGTTACCTGTGGCCTACAGGCTTAACGATTTCTGGCTCAGTATGGTAACAAAGCGAGGGCCCATAGGCATGCAGCAATGCATTGATTGATCAATTTAAAATACATTTGTATGCACGATGCACACATTAAAGCAGTGGTTCTTAACCTGGGGGCGTGCAAGATGCCCTTTCTGGGGGTGCAAAACATGCTGGATTTTTTTAGAAGGTAAATAATAAAAAACACAAATTAACCACAGGCATGTAAGTACACCTACTTTGTTTCATCAAACCTCTATGTGTTTATTAACATTAAATATTTTTTAAACAATTGAGAACCAAAGGGGTGCAGGCTACAGTAAAGGTTAGGAACCACTGCATTAAAGCATGCTTGTGAGAATCCGTTTTTTTTGTATATGTTGAAGGAAATAAGTTCAAGTGACCTCTGCAGCCACAAGATGTGCTATCGTTCACCACAATAGAAAAATAAATATCAGCTATAAAATCTTAATTGTGACCCTAAATCGTGCCTAGTACTTACAAAGAACACCCTTCCACAAGATACTTTGCAATAGGTCCATGACCCCATGATCAAGCTAAATCAGTATCATGATTTAAAAAGAATAATAATTATGTGGTGGAGCAGTGACAGTAGTTAGTGCACTGCGCTCTGAACATAACCCGAGTTCGATTACCAGCCATGGTTAACATCAGTCGTGAGTGATATCTGAACCCTTTAATCGACCTGCATCGAACAGCGTGGTAAAGCATATTCAAACAACCTCCATGACCAGCATGACATGGGGAGGCCTTCATTCAACAGCATATTGACTCAAAATACTTATATATTTTTTTACAAATCTATAATAACATTGGTAATCATATGAAGAAACTGACCCCCCGTCAAGGGAATATGGACTTTCCACTGATAATTTATTTTCACCGCAATGCTCATTTGAGTGGCTTTTACTTTGACAAATTCATTTGTGGGCTTAGACTATTTTAGCTCTCCGATGTGTTGTCAGGTTGTGCCATGTGATGTTCTGTGCGATGTCTTGATGTTTCACCTGACCGTGCTGGGAGCTTCTTCAGGAAGTGAGTTCAGGAACTGGATTCAGCTAGGGGCTTTGTTGCACATCATGCCGGACAAACACACTGTGCAACCCAAAACTCAAAGGAGAGCTATACAGCACAACCGCAAAACCCACGCAAACGCTTTCGTTTATTTTTTGAGCACCTACAATAGGTGTAGCGCTGAAGGACGCTAGTGGGCGTGAGCCCAGTGCATCCAGATTGTCTAGACAACTTCCTAATGAATGGGAAGGTTGTCCATTCTGTTTGGGGCACTTGTACTCTGAATGCTCGGCCACGTGCCTCCTATAGTAAAAACGGGACAGCACACAAAGGCACAAGGACAGCTTTGCATTGCAACTGTCACAATACGAGCCTCTGCCAGTTTTAGTCAAATGTGCGTAAGAAGGTGATTTCTGCTTTTATGCATACTCGTGAGTAATGACGTGCAAGGGAAGGGGCAGGGGGGTGTGGGGGGGGTGATCATCGACGTGTGTGGACGCAATTTCTCACACGACTCTCGTCCTGCACCGGCGGCCTCCAGGTGGTGAGGAACACTCTGGACCCGACATGGAAGCCATTCACCCTCCACCTGCAGGTGCTCTGCAATGGGGACCTGGAGAAGAACATCAAGGTACGCATATGAGCAGGCAGGGAGGCAATAACAGAAAACTCACCCTTGGGTAACTGCTGTGCACCTGTGGGAGCTGCATCTGGGTCATCCTTATGAGGAGGACCTGATTTGTTTGACATTGACACTCTTAAGTAGTGAAGCTGAGCCCTTCTATAAAGGCATGCCCATCACGACTTGCGTCTTTCTGATTTTGCCTCTTTGTTAATATCGTCAGCCATGATAAATCCACTTGTGCATGAATTTCTCCAACATTAAGATGCTCATGCGTGCAGTAAGAACAGTATCTGATGGAGAGTACTTAACATGAAATTGCATTTCTAGTATGCTTTACAATATAATGGTTATAGCCAACAACAGATCAAAAAAATCTCCACACAAAACAAAGCACAACTGATGGCTCTGAACCACTTATAGTGACAGCCATAAACTACCCGGCATTGCAGGCACCACTGGTGAATCACCAGCATCCTAAACAAACACAACATCAAGGTTAGGTTAGGTTCGGCACCTTCCACAATGTACAATAACTGCAAGCACCGGCTTAAGACAAACATTCAAGAAAGGTGTATACAGATTTACATGCAGCTGTGGCCTTCATTGTGTTGGCCAGACCAGCAGGAGAATCATTGTGTGTCTGCAGGAAGGAACACCAGAGACGGATCATATACTCAAAGTCCAATGCATCTGCTGTCGCAGAAAACGCATGTCAAGGGGATGTAAAAATAACATGACAACTCAATAACCACTCAAAGTAACACCATGCAGTAGGCTAGGAATCTACGTCAATGAAGCCCTATTTGGAGAAAAAAATTGACATTTTTATTGAAATGTTGAAATAATTAACATGGATTTGGCTTTAGAATAGATTTGAAATATATTTCTGTTGAGGATATTTGAAATAATAATCACATTAAAGGTGGTCAGGGCCAAATTATAATGAGACAGAGGTAACTCATCCTTTGGCTGTTGGCATTGTCCGGGTGGGTATATGAGAGCACAGCTGAGGCCGCCTCGCTCAGTTTTCAAGTTCACTTTCCGATGAAGCTCACTGCACGCTGGCGAGATGTTGACTACCTCGCGTGGTATACAGGAGGTTCATGGGTTCGATCCCAACCCTGACGCCTGTTCTCCCATGGTTGCATGGATTTTTCTCCGGGTCCCCCAGTTTTTCTCTCCACATTTAGAATAATGCATTTCAGGGTATTTGGCTGCTATACAGTTCCACATGATAAGCCACTTCGTTAAGCTATCATTTGTGACCAAGTAGCTTCTAAAAAGAGCTCTTTAGCTCAGTGGGCCTTACCTGGCAAAATATAAATTGTTACAGGCAACCCCCGCACCTTCAACCTAATTGGTTCCTAGCCGACGGTCGTAAGTCGAGCCATCGTGAGTCAAACCATTATTTCCAATTAAGCACAATGTTATAAATCGGGATTCAGTTCCTGGAAACCGATTATATACCATAAAAATACTAAAATTGACCACGAAAATAAATGAAAAAACTCAAACATTTATTGTAACTGAACATAACTTTTACAACAATTTATTAAGTAAAAGAAAACACTTACATTTGATCATTCTTAAGTAATTTTATGCATTTGCATTACATTTCCTCTTCTCAGAGGTAACGAAAGGCGAAATGTTATTTAGATGCGAAGAAAATTTATTAAAAAAAGTGAAGAGCATTGTGAAAGATACGCTGCTGCGTTTGCTTTAGGCACAGCTGCAGACTGATGGGCTCTACTGTACATACGCATATGGCGGAAGAGCAAAGGAGTGCCATCAGGCGACGAGTCGGTAGTAAGAAAGGTCGTAAAACGGGGGGTCGCAAATCAAGCCGTCGTAAGTCGGGGGTCACCTGAAATAGTTAAATAGTTTGAATGACACATATGTTTATGTTAGGTTCAGTTATGAAAAGACTTAAGTAATTGGTGAGTATTTCATCAAAACTTTGGCAAATATAATTAATATATTTTGTAAACGTGACAATATTGTTGGGTCGATTACATGGATTGTTGTGCTGTGAGACTGAGAGAGATGGTGGCAGCTTAGGGAGGCCTTCATCCTGGCTGATGATGATTTTAATTCCGCTCTTAAATCTCCTTCTTTGTGTTGTCCAAGTGACACACGCACTTACTCGCTTTCGTTAAAGCTCGTACGTTAAGCTCATTTTGGGTTGAAAGGAATATTTTTCCTGCACGCTGTAAGAAAGCTACTTTGTTCTCGACTTTTACATAACATGACATGTAGAAATGCACATGGGTAGAAATTGCAATGCTTTCATGTTTCGTAAATAGGTCTGCGTTCAAAGCTTACATTTCTACTGCACGCCTTTTAATTGGGTAAGTTGAAGATAATTCTTGTTTTTGTCGTAAAAAAATTACAAATTAGTTTTTGCTCGAGGGGCCCACGTGGAACATGAAATATAACAGCACAAAAAATACCGACATTCTTAATTTGCTTTGCACATCTCTCGTCACTTTAGTTTTCCACGATTAAAAAGCATGTCTAACTGAAGCTTTAATATGCACATTATTGCCTTTTAAAAGGCTTTCTGGTGCACATTATTTGTATCATTAGGTCAGAGCTCACTAACCAGCAGAGATTGCATCTACATTGCAGTAAGTGCATCTATTTACATAAAACTGACACTAATTGGGGGTTTTTTGTCTCTCATGCTCTTGGTCTGCAGACAGCAGGCAGTTCTTTATCTTTTTTTCCAGCCAATTTGCAATTTAAAAGTTAACACTTTCCCCACACAGAAGAAAACGTGTGACAAATGCAACGTGGGGATTTGTTTTTCTCTCCGCTTAACCCAACGACAAAGAAACATGTCACGATGACCCGTTCGGCCGTGACAGTACAGTACCTTTGATATTTCTTTGCCTTCTCACAAAATATCATGACATCAATTTGTAAATATTCGCGTTCATTGTGGGTGTAACGGCTGCAACAGCAGCTTGCGCGAGTGTGTGTACTTCCACGCCTTAATGAAAAGGAGATGATTAATTTCAATTGATGGACTGCGTTCTCCGATTCGGGGAGGGTGAACGGTACACCTCGATAGCTTGCGCTGGTCGTGGTTGGGGGGGGGGGGGGTAGTGGGGACGGTGCAGCGAGCGGAGGGGCAGTAGAAGTGGGGGAGCTACGGCTGTTCTGTTCACGGTGCGGCTCGTGTGGCCGCGTGAGCAGCAGCAGGGCTGTGCGCAGAGAGATAAGCCGCTGAAAAGGCAAAGAAGAGCACGGCGCCTCTTTGGGGGAAGATGCACGTCGACGGCAGAATGCTAATTGTGAGAACAGTGTGTCATTGTTACGTGGCAATTGTTAATGCAAATAATAAAAATGTGTTTTTAATGTTTTAAAAAATGGAGATTAACTAACATGTGCAGCTGGACACCTGTGGGCTATCTGGCCATGGATCGTGATGATGATTAATTTTAGGCTGGTAATGCGTTAATATTTACAACTATAATTTGTATCCTTCAGCTAGATTTCAGATATGTTTATGGAACGTTTATTTTGCGGGTTTTTTCTCATTGGCGTGAAAGATGAGTGACATGCAAAACATTTTATTTGATGGTTTTATATGCTCATGTAAAGGCGCTAATTCAATGCAAGTAAAAAAACACATTTGTTTAACTCTTCTATCGTTTCATTGTTCATCACATTGCATAATTCCTGGTCATTTAAATCTTTGTTGTGTCAGCGTCCTTCAACCTCACACCTAACCTGGCCAATTTCCAACACTGTACCGTGCATGTTTTTACCAAACACAAACCCTTTCCAAATGCAAATAATTTGGTTGAAAATGCATTTGTCCACAAACATTACCAATTTGTGATGACCAAAACAATAACGGGGTTCCTAGAGGCGGTTGCTGCTATTGTCACAGTACTCGGCAGGTCATAAGTACAAATTACAGTCCGGGAGAGGTCAATACAGCCCATCGTTCCGCATTGGATAAAATCAGTAACTGCTTTGCGAATTCAACAGTGGCTGAACTGCATGCTGGCTATCTCTGGGCCATGAACAGATATGAACACTTCACACGTCTAATTTAAACAGTGACAGACTTCGAATTTTTACTTTGATCAACAATGGCAGGAAACGCATGACACAAATAGCTGGCTCTTTAATGTATTCATGTATGTATGTATGTTGAACTTCTTTCGCACTGTACGTAGGCAACTGCGCTAACTGGATGTGCGGGGGAAGGATGTGTATTCGGCTTGTATCCTGTATTGTTCGGAATGATGTCCATGACGTGTCATCATGCATAAGAATACACAGTACACCCGAAAAATACATCGGAGAGCTGTACAGCACTACTGCGAAAACTTTACGATAGCAGCTTCACATACAGTTACCGTACTTTCTCGCTGCTGCCACCACTGCCGCGTGCAGGCCGTGTGCTACGACTGGGACCGGCACGGTAGCCCTGACCTCATCGGCGAGTTCTACGCCAACATCATTCGCCTCAAGGAGGCCACCGGCAGCATGGAGGTAACGTCCACCACGGGGACGCCACTCTCGCCATTTTACCGCCGTAGAATTCGCGCTGGTGCCTGTGCAGGAGACGGTTCCACCGTTCAGCTAACATCACGTGCTGATGCTGCCCCCTTAAGCGTAGTTTGTCCTCTTTGACAGTGACATACTTTGGGTTAATCAGTTACATATTAGGCAATATTGCAAAACTGCCAGTTTGATCAGGTTTAGAATAACAATGTTCCCTTAGCCATGAAATGATTCACCTGCTGCTTAGTGATTTGCCAGATTTTCATGAAGTGATGCCACTGTTTGAAATGCTAAAGACCATTGAAAAATTATCCACAGATGGTCAATTAGTTTGCTTATTAAATGCTATTTTCCGTATTGCAGATGTCAGCAGGTGAGTTGTGGCATACACACACAGCGCTATAGGTGAAGGCACGTTGTCCAGCAATCATTTTAAGGTTCGTGTTTGACAAGAGGCTGTTCAATTGAGACCTCAGTCCATAATGAAGACACGAATACTAATGAACTTCAACAGATGGATGCGGAGCCTTATTCTCAGTTATCTCATTAGAAATGGTATCGGAGATACATAAGTGAGCATTTGGAGCGGTACCATACGCACAGTCCCTGTAATTTAATACAGCAGATGCCAGATATAAGCACATCGCTTGGGAGTAAGACAAGGTGGTTTATATCCAAAGTGTGCTTGTATAGAAGTTATCCTTCACCTTCTCCCCATCAGTGTATCTTAATCATCTCTTGCTTACATCAGAACTGTGCTTATAAGGTGTGCTTATATCCAGCTCCTGTTGGAGCAGCATCACGAATAGCTTGGCAGTTTCTATTTCCTTACTTCGTGAAAAAACATACAATTATTGACTTTGAGACAAAACTCCCAATGTGCTGTGAGCTTTTGTCAAAAGTGCCGTGAACGTGAGTTCCACAGTCGGAAATGTTTGGCTGTTGGAAGTGCATGGCTCTGCAGTACAGTGGAGTGCAATGCTTCGGAGATGAAACGCATGGCTTTGCCCTGCGGCGGAATGCATTGGCGACCGGGCCACGTGGGGTTCAAGGTGTAAGCCAGGAGGCGGACCGCCACTACTGGACTAGAAAGCCCTGAAAAGGGGTTATAGGGGTCTGTTATCACGAGGATTTGTGGGACTTAGTGAAAATTCCTCGGTTCAAAGAGCCGCGCGGAATGCAATCTTACTGAAGGAGAATGTACAGTAACGCGTCGATATACCATTATAATTACGGCGCACTGTCTCAACATTTGCCGCAAGAACACTCGCGGTATGCTCCTGTGTAACGTGAAATTGTTAAATATACACGGGCACAGGCAAGCAGCGTGGGTTTCATGTCAATCGATGCCTTTTTTTTGCGTGAGCTGTGTCGGAGGTTCTTGTTTGGCATCGTGGTTAGTTGTGCTACTGTCTGAATCATAAACATACAAATCTAATGGAATTCAGCCTCCGTATTGCGTTGACATGCTAGAGTATATATTACCCCAGGGCTATGAAAAGATTGGAGGTCTTGTTATTGCAAGATCGCTTTGCTTGTGTAAGTGACATTTAATTTGACTTTTTAATACCTTTTTTTAGCGCAACAAAAGGTTGAATTATGCAGGAAAACAGCTTCACAGTTGACAAAATCTTCATATTGGGTTCTTTAAGCACTCGTCAGTATACCACGTTTCGTTCAGATCCCATTGTCTGATTTGCCAGTGTCACGTGACTATATATAAAAAAATATTCAAAGATCATGAAAAAATTTCCTCTGCTATAAACACTCCCATTACACAACACTAAACTTTCATTGCTTATACGTATCTACGCAAATACTCGTGCTAAAATCGTCCAGCAGAACACTTGACATGTCGGCAATTTATGCGAAACATACCATTAGTTTAAGAGCTGGTGGCCGTTCGTCGCTGATGAAATGTTTTGCAAGGGGGCGGGGGGCGGCAGGGAGGCATAGACACCGTGGCTTCGTGTTCATTTCCTTCAATAATTGTGCAGCATTAGCGGCATGCGTGAGATCTGACGGTGCATGTAATGCAGCATAATGCAATAAATGTGGACTTAATTGGGCCCCTGTGCCAGGGCGCTGCATGCTGATGCGTCTGGGCATTAAAGGTTTATGCCCAGAGTTTGGGGGGCACGTGAGGGTTTATGGAACCTCGGTGAAGTGAGCGTTACCATTATAGTAATGTGCAACCTCAGCTCGGGATTCCCAGGGGTGGGGGGGCCTAGCAGAGACCCCCATTTCCCCGGGCGTCGCTGCGAACGCCAGAGCTGAACTCTTGTCTTTCCTTTCCTCTGCAATTACGCCGCTTGCAGCATTAGAGTGAAATCGCTGCGAAGGCCGGTAATGACCGCAGTGAGGCAGGCGCCAGGGGGGTAAAGGGAGAGGGAAGGGAGTGTGCAAGCACAAGAGGGGGGTTTAAAGCACAGGACTCTGCCTGCAAGTGTCTCCTTAGCAGCAGGAATTTAAATGACCCGTCTGTATTGCTTGACGTGACTCATTTTCTAGTGAGTCGTGCAATCGGTAAAAAAAATCTCATTAAACACCAGGATGGGTTTTTGATTATTCTGGATTCCTATTTTTTTAATGGCCTCTTCATGCCATGCAGGAGAATGTCGTTGGCAGTGTGCCCTCTTCACCGGTGACTTATTCGTTCGACTGTAATCAGATTGCCCTTGTTGTGGATCTGTAAAGACCATGACAGTGTCACTATCTGGCCCTCCTAGCCTCGTAAGTGAGAGAGAAACGCTTTTTTGTGCAGGCCACAGCTTTTACATTTGTAGTAATTTGTCACGATCAAATGTAAAAATGTGTCTCTATTATTGATAAATGACCACACGCAGAATTTTCTCGGGGGATCATTTTCAAAAGCGGTGAATTCTCATGCACTTCAAAGTGCAGACGTTTTGCATAGGGGAAAGGTGAGCAAAAAAAACAGCATGAAAATATATTTTTACTGTGCAGCGATAAACGTTGTTTTTGAGACGTTCTAAACATTCAAAGTGCTCGTTTAAATTATTATAGTTAGTGGCCCAGAGTGCCGGCAAGACACTGTCAGTCATTCACCACACTTTTCGTCACAGGTGGTGCGCATCTCGTTTCAGCTGCCCCAGTGTTGTCGCGCCCCCTTGCTCATGTTCCCTCACATGGACCATTGCACTCTAAATGCATTTGACAGCTTTTTGAGAGTGAAAGAGAAAAAGTGACGGCTCGGGTCAGTGATAGTATAGTGGTGCAGGATTTACCGAACTACCGGAGCTGATGCAACTTATTTCGCGCACAGGGTGCCATGGTGCATCTCAATGCCTCCTGAATAAAATACAATTTGTAGCAGCGGATAAATTTGTCACTTACGGCTGGCCGTGGTAAACCTTACCCGCCGTGCACACGGGTGGTTACGAGTAGGTCAATAAAGACGTTCTTATTTTAAAAACGTATCGGTGCATGCGGTAGCGTGCCTTACGGCCCACTCTGTGCGGCGACTTTTGCTTTGGGAGAGAGGGCTGTGCCACGCTGCGTGGCTCGTTTACATTCAGCCCGTTTGCCCTGCCAATTGCAAGCGCACATTATTTTTCACTGACCCAGCAGAGTGAGCGACCGAGACGAACAGATTTGTCGGTCAAAGACGATGGCCCGTTTTCTCTCCTGTGAGCCGCGCTGTCAGCCGCGTGCTGCACATGGCAGATAAAGCCTCTTATTTGTAGTTGTTGCACATTGAGACATCGTTGTTGGGCATTTCTTGTGTCCAACTGGCGTTTCAGATAAAATTTAAAGAACAAATTAACTTTTCACTGGTGTTTAAAAAAAAAAATCATTGTGGCCAAATGAACAGCTTTTCATGAGCAGTTGAAATTTTAAAGTCTGCTCTTTATTGCTTTTAAATGTTTTACAATTACAAAATACATTTTCCAGCAACCAGCAGAACATGTATACATTTATTTTTGAAGTTCATTGAAAAGATGTTGACGTTTGCTTCAGAAATAGTTATTTTTGAGCTAAGAGCTTGGTCTCGTGCTTTTTGCCATATTCTAGCGTGCAGGGTTAAATCTTAATTGCTTCGACCTTACAGCCAATAATAGTGTGACATCATTACTCGGGGTGTAATGATTCACCCCTTCCCCCCTCCCCTCCTTCCAGGTGGTGAGTGATTTGAGGAATTTCCACAAATCAAGATCAGAATTCGATTTGTGAATATATTTTCTTTTGAACACTGGTGAATTCAGCAGCCACTGATTGGCTGTATTGTTCACGCAAACATGTCACAACTTATATTCATCGAAAAAAAAGATTCTCATACCAGCAATGCAATGTGTGTCGCGAGAGCTTAAGCATTGATAAGAATGTATGAATACATGCAATGTCACGCACCTACGATTAGCACGGTCGGTTACGTACAGTGCGAATGAAGTTCTACATACGTACATATATCATCATTAGACCTCCTTTGCCAGTACCAAAATGTAATAATAGGGTTTTTCCCCTTTTTCTGTCTTTGAGCTGTACGCCCCTTGGCGTCATGTGTTCGAGCACCAATTGGGTCGAGGCTCAAAAGAAAGCCGTCCCTTGGTGTGGACCAATCAGTTTCAAGGACAATGCATATATTATCATAGTATGTTTTTTGTTTGCATTTTGACTGCAGGTATTGTGGTTAATGCAGACATGAATCCTTGTAAAAAGGTTTCAGTTTTGTTGCCAGAAAAAAGGGGAGAAATCATTATTATACATACATATAATTGTTAAACCCCTACACATCACACTTGCAAAATACCGCATGCTTGTTGTGCAAGTAAGACTTTGAGAGAGTGACTGGCAGAGGTGGTGATATATATAGTCACTCAGTCATAGGCAGAAGAACAAAATAGTAAGGTTTTGAACCTAGTCTTAGTGACATCATGGATAGTCTATGGGCCAGAACAGAAATCGTTACTAGCTATTATTAATACGACCAATAAGGGTTATTTCCTTGGTAAGTCTGCTGATTTCAAATGGTTATCGCATTATTCACTGTTATTGGCCACATAAAGATATTGGAACCACTATCAGAATCTTTATTTATCTTGAAGGAATACAATGAACTATGAATCTCTTTTTCACAGATGTCCAGTAGGGGTGGGTAAGCAAGTTGCTAAAGTTATACCCTTTCAGGTGGTACCGACAAGTGAAATATCTGGTCTTGGTTCATTGACTAGGATAGCTGGAGGGTGTTCCAGATGATGGGGCCAGTGTGATGTTATCAGAAACACCACCCACTCCCCTCTTCCCATGCCCCGCATAGCGCCATCTCCACTTTATGGACTGCCCCTCCTCCTCTGTCCTCCCTGCCACCCATGCTCTCTGCAGGTGGAGTTTGAGTGCATTAACAACAAGAAGAAACAAAAAAAGAAGAGCTACAAAAACTCAGGCATCATTATCTGCAAGTCGTGCAAGGTTGGTATGCCGTCGCATGGCAATGGCATGGAGGAGCACTGGGAGAATAGTGGTGCTGTGATCAACTCTGTGGGATGCGAATATATGTTCAATGAAGACACAGCCCAGAACACAAAGCTTTGTTGATGTTCATCCTGATATCTCTGTAGTGATTTCACAGCAGAAACGACCTGGCCACAAATGACAGCTCAACGAAGTTGCTTGTCATGTTGAAATGTATAACAGCCAAATACTCTGAACACATGTTTCTAAATGTGGAGGGAACAACCGGAGGACCCGGAGAAAAATCCATGTGACCAAGGGGAGAGAGACACTGCAAACTCCAAATATACAGTGGTCAGGGTCATGATCAATCCCGCGACCTCCTGTATGCCAGGCGAGGTAGTTAACATCTTTCCACCATGGCGCCCATCAATAGGGACACCATCATTATCAGCCATGATCTATCAACTTGTGGATGAATGCCACATCTCTCATTCCTGCATTGTAACATTCCATCTAGCCCCTACACAAGCTAATTTAGTTACTCCATTTCCACGGTAGACATGTTTTCCAGCATGTTCACTCCTTTGGCTGCGACTCCGTCTCGACCACCGGCCATAATCCCTTCTATGGACGTGCCCTGCCCGAGCCCACTAACCTGTCTTTACAGTCAACATGATGTCTCTAACTTCACATATGTTCTCTAATATGTTCATTGCTCTTCCTCTTAACGAACATGTATTTTTTGGGCTGTGTCTTCCTTTAACAAGCATTTATTCCTGAGGGCTGCCCTAGTAGAATGCAAGGAACTTGGCAAACATGTTTACAAGCCTAATCCTCACCCTACTGCAGTCATGTATTTCAGTGGAGGTTTTAGTGACAAATTAGAATGCAAATCCGGAAACAATGAGTGCTCTATGTCGCACCGACCAATCTGGCATGGTCAATGTGGAAGGTATTTATTGAGCACTGCTTAAATTAAATAAGTACGTAAGTGAGTGAGTGAAGGTATAAATAACAGGAACGTTTCAAAAATATATTAAAGCCTTCAGTGATGTTTAATTGGACCAGTGGCCGCGCCTGGAAACCTCGGAGGCTTAATTGCGATTCACTGCACTCGCACACTACAGGGCACGGAGTGCTTATTTATTCTTATCGGAGCCTTTAACCCCATGGTAAATGAACACGCGCCCTCTAAGCAAGGCCCACGCTAAAGCCGTGTTGAGTGCCCGTGCAAACTTACCGACACCTCATGGCAGGTTCCGGGTTTCTGCTTACCGTTTTGTTAATTGTAAAATGAGACAGAATTGTGTGTTTTTTTTGTTCTGGATAGCGCTCAAATAGTTTTGGCAACAATTTTCGGCACCATCTCGCCACCCTGGACGAGCACACAGTAACGCTGCTCAGCCTTTTAATACTTTCGGTTTTGATAGTGGAATGATGGGCAAACACGTTTCAGTCTATCAGCAGTAGCATGATTGGTTTTAGTGTGATGATAATTATATATTTTTTTTATTAATCTGTCACTAGGTGTTTTCTAGTGAAAACAAATCTAAATAACTCACAATTAACTTCATATAAAAAATTCCCATTCTTCAGGTCAGTTCCCACCCTTTCAAAAAACAAATATGCATTTTCAGGAGAATGTATTTTGCTGATTTATAGTGGATTGCCCATCCTTGCACTATGTTTGTTTCTTGAGTAATAAACAGAATGACAGGACAACTTTATTTATAAAACATTTTTAGGAGTATGATGTTGGTAAGATGTAGTTATTTCAAAATACACAGAAGCAATTGACAAAGATATATTTTGGCACCATTTGTACTCAGGAGTTGTACAAAATGCTAAATGATTTTGAATGGGATTATTATGGACAGAAGCCCACTCAACTGTACTCGTTACGAATTGCTGTTGGAATCTGCTTCTGAGTTGGTAATTCTACTTTCCCTGAAGAGACCACCGCAGCCCGCGCAGTTTGACATACACAGCCCGTGTGCATCGTATCCCTTTTCATTAATATGATCTTTATTGCATTAAATCTAAAAGTGCTGTCGGGAAGGAAAGCCTTAACAACCTTTGAGTACAATATTGGAAATGCCAGTGGTGTGTGCTTGGAACACGGTGCAAGGTAGGCGACTGCATAGGCAAGAAAAACATTTAGCGTCGTTTAAAAAAGCTTATCTATGTCTGTTGCGAGATTACTACGTTTTCCGCTTGCTGATGCTGCTGTTTCCATTCTGTCATGCTGCCCTCGACGTAACACAGATATCGCGTGACTACACCTTCCTGGATTACATCTTTGGAGGGTGCCAACTTCATTTCACGGTACGATAACTGCTGCCCTGTTTCGACTCCTGTACATTCGCCCCGGCCCGCCCACCCGACTCACCGCTTCCCCATGCCCCTGTCAACACTTTCCTCCTGAAACCCTCAGCCCGCATTTCTGCGACGAATTGTATATTTCGGTGAAAGTTATGTTGCTTGTACTCGCACTGAACCGAACTGAATGGTTCCAATATTTGTAGGAAAGAGCCATCTGTCACTCTCTTCACATTACTCCGTCTCTCTGTGGTGGAGTGGATGGGATTAAGGTGAGTGCAGACAGAACCACGAGGTGTAAATTATCGCCTTGGCTGTGCCTTTGTGATAAGCGTGCTGCGCGTTCCCCGCACCTCCCGCTCGCTCACACGTGCCACCTACCCTCCCAAATCCTGTTCCGTCGGTTGCGTTGCTTTCAACAGAAGGTTGCAATTTTTTGGAAGTACGGAGAATGCTTTTAGTGAAAATATTAAGGTCTGCATATATGTCATCATCATCATCATCATCAGCCACGTTCACTCCTAAACCGTCAGAATCTCTCATGGTCCTGTGGTGGAATGATCCACGCAACACATGTGCACGAGCTGAGCTCCATCGCCGCGCCACACGTCTTTTTGCAAATACGTTTACGCAAAACATGTATAAACCTTGGCCAATTCTGACAGCTGAAAGGCAATTTTGGTTGAGCGAGTGCAGGGGTGACATGGCATAGGAGCGTTGGCTTGATGTTCTAGGCGCGATGGCGGAGCGCTCCCATTTCTGAGCAGAATCTCCAGGGCACCAAGGAGGAGGTGGGGAAGAAATGAAAAGACGCTGGAGCAAAACAAAACATGATTCAGCATGCGACAGGAATGGGGAGTCTGGCACAAATTCACAACTCACAGCTGGGGGGAGGCCATGGCTGGAGCCATCTATCAGATTATTCGCCCAGCAGGAAAAACTGCACGCTGAGCAAAAACACCGATTTGGAAATATTTGTTTCCCATGGTCAGTGAGAACAGCGCAGGGGGAGACGGGAGGAGATGCATTGTGTCAAACGCCATGGTTTTATCTGAAAGGCACTGAAAAAATAATAATCGCATAATAGCCACATCGCCCTTGCATAGATCTAGCGTCTTAATTTATGACTGCCTCATCCCGTTCACAAAGTGTGGGGGCGCTCCTCGCTGGGTGTTAAATTACAAAGCACTGCACTCCATTACTTACGCATGATGAAGAGCCATCGTTGGGTCGGACTGCGGTGTAAAGAAGGCATTCTCATGACCCTTTCACACCAAACTGCTTCAGCGGTCCAGCCCGGCTTACTGTTAGAGGCCGTGGTGGGGGTTGGTGTTAACCCGTGCTTGCGACCGGTAAAAATTAGTAAACGGCAGAGAACCCTGTCGTGTCCTTGCAAGTAGGCTCCCTGGGGATAGAGGTGGGAGCTGTTGAGGCTGTCGGGTTCGCATGGGTCAGACACTCGGATCGCAAGGCTGAGTGGGGTATGCGGGAGGTGCGCGCACACTCTCGAAATCTCATGCACGGAGGTCTCCTCGAGTTACTCGCTCCTATTAATATCCCCCTTGTACCAACGCGAGCCGCACCATTGAGAAGATGTCGTCCCGCTGCAGTCCACTCTGTTTTAACCTGGTGCTCACCCCAGATCCATCCTGAATAATTTACGGACAAATAGACAGTGTACTTATTTGTATAAACACAGAGCATGCAGAGCACAACAGTGTGTGCGTGTCTGTGTAGTTAGCACACTGCGCTACGAACCCAGCGACCCGAGTTCAATTTCCTATCACAGCCCAACTTCGTTATGAATATCAGAACTGGTCCTGGGCCTCCCTAAGGTCAACTCAGCCTAAAAACAGTGCCTTGTGCGATGTGTACACATCACCACTGGAGAGATAAAGGCGGCTAGGGGTAGTGCTGGCCACCCACCTCCTGTGTCCTGTGCCAGCCTTCATATTCTCACTAACAGCACTTGTCCCAATAGTCTGTTAAAGGCTATACGGAGAATCTTTCTCTTTTGTATATGAGTTAGGGGGAGCCATAGTGTAGTTCTTAGCGCACTGCATTGGAACCGCTGGCTACAGTTTGATTATTGCTAACATAAGTGCCGAGCAACAATTACAGTCCCTCGACCTGCTTAGGTTGACATGGCATAATATAAGTACCTGCTACGATATATGAACATTAGCAATGGAGACGAACAAATGCCGAAATAGGAGAATAAGCCAAAATGCCCTCTAGTTAGAGGGGCTTCTCTAGAGCTTCCTATAGTGGAGGCCCTTCTGCCTGCAGTGGCGTGAGCAAGCAATTTCAGGGCTGCGCCTTCACCTATCGTGAGATGCAGTGTTCTGCACGTACGTGTAGGCACGTCAATATTGTCTGAGTAAATAGTTTCATGTTAGCCACCATGCATTTCGGCATGGGCATTTACTTCCCCGTATTAAGATTTTATACATCATTTTAGGTCGGCGTCACCCACCGCAGCACGCAAGCGGCTGTGTGTCTCCGAGGCCACGAGTTGCGGCCCGATTTAGTCTCAGGTCAGAGCATTCCTAGCGGTGCCTCTTAAATTCGTTTTGCGGAATTGTCCCAATGCATTCCGTTCAGCACAATATAAACACAATATAAACGTTCTTCTCTGCTGCCCCCATAGTTACCTTCCCTTAGAAATCTGTGCTGTGAACTCCCTGCCCTTGCTCAAAGCCCTGTGTTCCCACATCTGTGGTTCAAGCCTTTACCAATTTGTTACCGCTAAGCATGGTGAAGTATGGTTAAATTATACTCATGACCCAGACAGGCAAGCGGAGGCCTTCATTTTAGCAGTTGACTACAATATGGGTTTTACAATATTGTAAGTGGGTTGGAGGCATTTAAAGAAAATGTTATGTTGCCTTGTGTATGCCGAGGTGACCTGTATAAGCCTGCACGGCAAATCTGTCAGCACCTGCGTCCCCCAAATCACGAAGCTCTGCCTGTCTCCGTGGAGGGAAAACATGCCCGAACGTGTTAACTGTTTAAATAATAACTAATAATAGCAGAGGAGAAGATATGTTAGTCTGATGAAAAGTGTAAAATTATAGCGGCACATAAAAATGAAATACTGGTAATTCGATTTAGCAGTTAGCGTTCCTAATTTTTCTGTGCGGCGTGGGTGTGGATCGGGATGTGTGTTTATGTTCGTGTGAGTGTGTGATGTGGTCTGTATGTATATTTAACTTTTTTCGCACCGTACGTAGTCAACCGTGCTAATCGGAGGTCTGTGTGTGCGCTTATGAGCATAGGCTCTGGCCCGTGTGCAGATTTTCATAGTGTTCTCAAACAAGACTCCATTCTCATGTCTGAGTCAAAAGTCACCCAATGGCCAGTTGTTGCTCAGCCTATGTGAATTTCTGATGTGTATCAGCATACCACATGCTCAAGCGGCTTCCGTTTGGCCGAATATATGGAGATAAATTGGTGCGTCACAGGCTAAATAGGAGATGGGCTCGTGCAAGAGGACCTGGATGTGTGTAGACTTGCTAATGACTGGAACCAGCGGTGTGAAGATCAGCCTTTGTGGAGGAGGTTCGTGAAGGATGCCCTTCAGCAACAATGGGGGGAGGAGTGACACAATGGGTGGAGCGCCGGGCGGTTAAAATGCAGCGAGTTGGCACGGGGGAGTGCAGGTGGTGCATCCACCAGTCATCTGAGTTGGTCAATCCATGGCACCTAGATCTGTCTCTTGACCGCCTACTAAGCCAGACTTTTACACTTTATGTGGCCTCAAAATGCACCTAGCCTGGCACAAGAACTGTGGTGGTATCACCGCCCCAAAAATGCTGGTGCCGGAACGAATTTAGTTTTTTTCCTTTTTTGTGCACACGCTATTCATTCTGGCTGTGCTGCGTCACAATGTGAGTTGCCTAGCGAGGAGTTGGCGCGTGTACGTGCTTGCAGGTGGGCATAGACTTTACGGCGTCTAACGGAAACCCAAGGGACGCATCCTCGCTGCACTACATCAGCCCCACGGGCATGAACGACTACCTGGCTGCCATCTGGGCCGTGGGCCAGATCATCCAGGACTACGACACGTAAGTGCAACGTGCGCACAATCGCCCAGCTTAATCCAAGCAGAAAACGGACTTGTGAACGTGATTTTATTTGAGAAGTTGTTCAGTTTACTCCAGAGATTGCACAACCCTAGTGATAGAGGATCACAGTGTTTTCTTGTTTTAGTTCCAAATTCACTTTCATTTACCCTATTGCGCCCCTAATTGAGCAAATAAGTTGCTTAATTAGACCTGCTTTGTTTGTTACCAGATGTTTATCAGTTGTAGATTTAATGTCATCTATAAATCCCGCAAGTTTGCACCCCTTGAGCTCTGGCGTTCCACACCCCAGATTTACACTGAGTTTGGAAGCAGAATAAAAAAATAAAAAACAGATCAGTGATTGAGAATGTGTCTAAATTTCGATTTAAAGCTTTCGTGACTGCAAGGATTCATCTTCTTTGGTTCTTTCGGTAAAGTCACGTAGAATGAGAATTAAATAATAAAATAAAATAAAACAATAACATTCTCACGACGTTTTGGCCACAACACAAGTGGCCTTCATCAGGTGAAGGGACGAGACTGTCTCGAGGACAGCGCTGGAGCGAGACAGTCTCGTCCCTTCACCTGATGAAGGCCACTTGTGTTGTGGCCGAAACGTCGTGAGAATTTTATTGTGGTCTTTTATTGTATTCATTTATTATTTTATTCTCATTCTACATGACTTTACCGAAAGAACCTAAGAAGAGAATGTGTTTTTCATTTCATGACAGATAAAAAGTACTTGCTGGCGCAAGTGTTCATCTTGGTCTGGAGGCTTGTGATGTCCTCCCAGCGTAGGCACCGCTTGCTGTCAGATTTCTCGGTTTTAAAGGAAAAATTTTGGATAGATTCCCAGCATGGCTGTTTTAATAATTTTGACGCCATGCGGTGATTTAAGGCTCGGCTTCTTCAGTAAGTAGTGCAAGGGGAATTGTACGGCCACCCTTTCACTGGCATAGAAACGTGCTTAATGCTGCTGTCAATCTTCGGTGTGGAAATGCCTCGACTGGCTTGGCAGATCCCATCACGCCCACGGGAAGCACATTAAGGGCCCTTAACCCCATTACCTGTGGGATTATTTTATTTGCTTAACTGCTGCCTCGACTGAGCTATGAATTTTGATGATTCCAGTAATTTTTATTTGCAACCGGCACCTTGCGAGGTATATTTATTTTTGGGAGAAACCGAAGCTCCGTGTTTCATCGTGTTGTATGTTTAAGGTTTGTCAAGAATGTTGGCCAGTGAGACATTGGTTGGGGAATAAGCTCAGAGACGTGATGGTCAACATCAATCTTCGGTCTATATAATGGACTCTCCAGATTTGATTTCTTCCAGTCTTGAACAGGTGCTTTGTTCAGTGTTAAAATGGTTAGACAATAGGTGCTTGGGGTGTTCGTCATGTTGGAGAAATATATATTTTTTGAATCAGCAACCTTCCATGGTTTTTAGAACACTGGCAGTTCAGCTTCTGCTCATTTCATTTTTTTCTTTAGAGAGAAAAGAACATTCTGAACAGGAATAGAAAAAATGTACTTAACATATCATGCTATTGTAGTTTATTAAAACTGTCATTGAGAAACATGGATTCCTTGTGAAAATTGCAGCCTGGGCGGGAGACACAGAACATGGAGCCACTTTGTCATAATTTAATTTCATTATTTCCACGCTCTGGGAATTGTAGGTCGAGGGGTCACCCCTGTCCGATGAGAGATTTGGAGGAGGGCAATGCACCATTACATGGTCTCTTCGTGTCACGTTTTATTTCCAGTCCCGCGTTCATGAAGCCATCATTAACAAATTGCATTTAAATTTTGCGCAAAGTTGGGTAAAAAACACAGCAGCTCCATGAACAGAATAACACATTCTTGATGTTAAGCTTTCGTGACTGCAGGAATCCATACTCTTTGGTTCTTTCGGTAAAGTCACGTAGGTAGAAAAATAAATAAAAGAAACACGACGTTTCGGTCGCAACACAAGCGTCCGTCATCAGGTGACAGACGCTTGTGTTGCAACTGAAACGTCTTTCTTTCATTATTTTTTCTATCTACGTGACTTTACCGAAAGAACCAGAGAGTATAGAATAACACATGCAACAGTTTTCAATGGTAACATTGCAATTATTTTAAATCCAGTGTGTGTCGCATACAGCTGCAGTGTTGTGATATTCATTCGGCAAAGGCTGTGCGATTCATTTCAGTGAAGTCTCCTACACAAATTAAATTTGCAGAAGATAAATAGGGGTTTATTTAATGGGCTTTTTTTCCTACATTAACAGCCTCCGAATGCGATCAACGTGCCGGTTCATCTTCATTGTTCCGCAGAGGCAATTGAAAACCGAAAACCTGTTCGACTTTGTCACGCGGGGCCGGCTCGCAAATGCTCGTTCGCTTTCGTCCCTTGGCCGTGCAATTTGATGCGCATGGCTGTGAATACAAATCGCTAAAACGTTAGCTCCTTTCATAATCACCCAGTGCATTATTAAAGTGATTAAAATGTTGGCAATAATATATTTCTTTGCAGGCCATGTAAATGCCGCACACTCTCACTCACAGAAATGTATTAAATATTAACCCATTGGCAGCAGGTGATGCATTGCTTGTTTTGACATCCCTATAGCGGAATTTGTTTTATCCACCAATGTGTTATGGCTGAAAATCAGCGTGGTACCGCTATAGCTTGAGTGGAAGAATTGTGAGTTCAAATCCTGGTCAGGGGATGACCTAGTCAGCATAATTCCTCTGGCGTTGGTAAACCGAGCAGCACTGCCTTGGGGAAAGTCAACAGCAGTCGTCCTGTGGTCTGAATAGCCCTGGTCATGGAGATGTGGAATTTCCTACACTTGCTCAGGCCCTTAAGTGAAGTACCAATGTTCCTTGGAGCAGAGAGACAATGTCCCTTTGACTTTTTGACACCTGCAGTCAGGGGTCAGAGCTCGTCGCGTTAAACAACCGGCGTGTTCTCGCGGTGGTGGTGGTGGTGGTGGCGGCGATAGGTGCCCAACTGACCCCACCGTTCGCCGACCTGCAACCCCACGGCATGGAAGCGGCTAACGAGCAGCTGTCCTGGCAGGGGTAGGGTCAGGCATTCAGGCGGGCGGTGGGGAGGAGAGATCTGAGTGGCCGCAAGCTTGCTATAGGCGGGCAATGAAAAGACGCCGCCCTGCGTGAGGCAACACGTCGTGCGCTTCCGTGCACAAATGCGGGGGCGATCGTTATTTGTAATTTTCCGTCGGCAAGAATCCACACAAAAAAATATATACGAACCGAAATGATAGCTTCTTTCCTAAGAGCTGGTTGGCAGTCCTCGGAGAGTGATGTGAAAATCAATATCCTACGAATGTTACCGACATTTACTGCTAAAATGAGTCTCCCGCAAAGTGGGGTGCTTACCTAGGTGAATAGAAACATGACTAATAATACAGAAACTATCACCAACTTATTCCCTCCTAAGGCGTGGGTGCACGGAATTGCTCACACCATCTACAAAAACTTTTCAGGTGGATGGGGATAGGGGAGGAAAAGTTTAACAACATCCTGAATGAGCGAAAGATAAATTGATGCGGACATACCTTCTATGGTAGGGGGGTATTGAGAAGGAGAGGCTCTGACGTTCGACTGCACTGCACGAGAGGAAGGAACTGTTTGCACTTACGCGTGCGTTCACGCAAACTCAGAACACACGCGAACAGATGACGACAAAACAATATGCTTGCCGATTTTCTCCGCCAAGCAACAACGTTCCATGATTGAGCCCTCATTAGCACGGGCTCGCTGGTTCATCCCGCACGCACATCCCAAGCTCCCACAGGGACGTTCGGCTGACAGTATCGCTCATGCCGCGGCGTTTTAGCCGCGTTTTTGAAAATGCAGCATGGACGGGAGGGCAGCGGCAATGGAACAATCGATCGGCTGTGTAGCGAGCCGATACCTACATTAAGCTTTGTTAATAATTCATCTGTTTAAATACGTGCTGAGCGATTTCCCCCTTTAATGTGACAGCGATGCCGAGCATGGGGAGGAAGTGGCGCTGAAGCCCTGACGCCTTTTCAGCTGTGCCTTTCACCCTAATCCATGCCCTTCCACGGACTCACCCATACAATACGGCCCCTGTACAGTGGACGTTCTGCCCTCACGGCCAGTACCGAGCAGCCCCCGTGGCCCATCTGTCTTTTGCGCTCCGCTCTGGATCAACTCGTGCCACTGCCCCTGCTACGTTCAGTGGTGAATTATATGGAGTGCGATGGCGGCAAATGCTGCACGTGTGACAATGAGATCAGCCAGTAATGGCTCTGCACACACTCCGCTTGAAACTGTTCATGACACAAAGGGAATTACATCATTGGTTTAGTCATGCCCCCCACTTGCCAGGTACGAGGCTCCCTAAGGTCGTATTAGTCAGCCGTCTGCCGGAGAAGTGTATACAGAGCCGAGCTTGTGCTTGCATTGGAAGGTCATGCTAAAATAATTAATAATACGAAAGTACATGCGCTGCAATTTTTAAATAGACTTACAAATAAAATAGATTTAGATACTTTACTACAAATGTGAGATCTAGCAGAAGTACAGCAATGCTACACTCTGGTGGCATCTACAGCTTTGGCCATGATGACTTCTTGACCTTAGAGACAATATATGTGTTGGGTGCATTGTCCTGTGTAGAGTTGGATGCGCTCTAAGCCCATGACAGTCGGCTGGCTGCTGTGGCCCAGATGAACATCTCTAAGTGTCCCCTGCACAAAATGTGCTATGTTCCATGTGGCGGTAACAATTTTAAAGTCAAGTCTGTAGTGCTGCTGAGCCTCCACAATTATCCCACTGATTCATAAATTGCTTGTGTGGTGTGTGGCCTTTTTCTGGGAGAAAATGGCAATGTTTCCATCACTCTCTTCCGAGGGAATCGTATCTCGAAGCTGCAGTTTTCTTTTAGAAAATCGGTTTTGAAGACAGGCCCTGATTACGATTTTGCATCTGACTGCTAGTTTTCTGCTTGCACCTTTACAGAAGGCACAGTGATCTCTCTGAAATAGTCCACTGTCCTTCTGTATTAGAAATAAGCTCGTAGGCCGGTGTTTTTATTCGTGTCTTACTGGTTGCGTTTTACAGCATAACCACAAAAAACAATGCAGTAGTCACTCTCTCTCTGGGCATAAAAGAGTATACTTGACATTAAACGGCCTCAGCCTTAAAGCTGTGTTATTCTCTCTGTCTCGCAGGGACAAGCTTTTCCCAGCATTGGGTTTTGGAGCTCAGCTTCCTCCCGACTGGAAGGTATGATTTTCTTCACGCTGAGCATGCAATGGTGTTTCCGACTTGGGGTTCTATCAGGCACACTTACCGACGCCAACTGTGCCACCTCCCACCACAATAATCAAACGCGCAACCAATGCAAAGCGAAACCGTGAGTGCCCAACCGCGCCACTGAGGGAGCACACACTGCCGGCACCAGTGATGGCCATTGGACTTGGGCTCGGCTGCTTGTCTGGTGCTCCGTCGTTGACAATGAGATGCCTTCATTACCAGAGAGTCATTGATTATTTATCGTCGTATTCACGAGTGTACGCAGGGAGGGGCAACCGCTCCACGTGTCTGCCGCAAGCTACGCTAAAAATACGGAAAGAGTGTTGGTATTGTCACGGTACTGTCCTGCATTCCCGTGCCGGTCGAATCAAGCGCGTGCCACTTTGGCTCAAGCGTTGTTGTGCTGCCACCTGTCCTGGTTTCCCAAGGATCATCCTCCTTTTGCGGTAGTTGTGCTGGGAAATACATAGGCCTTCCTGGGACGTTAAAAGCCCTGTTGTTTTGGCAGTTACTACTGGACATTACTACTGGACATCTGTGAAAAAGAGTTTTGTAGCTCATTGGATTCCTCCCGTCTAAATAAAGATTCTAATTCTGCATGGTTTGCCTCAAATACATGTGGTTAATACAGACTTCATTCCTTGCAAAAGGTATCTATTGGAACATCTTAACCCCTATATTATTGCCAGAAAAGGTAAAACCTATTCTTATTTTTCATACTTTCATACTGGCAAAAAGGTTTCATAGATATTCTAATTCTGAGTTGCATAGTAATACACCACTCAAGATGTTAGCATTTATATGTAGTAATTGAAAGATATACAAAAAATTGTAGCTCAAAGGTAACAGTCATATGTGTAGTGCAGTGAGATCTTCTTTGTTACAAAGTGGGGACTTTGTCAGTGGCCTTGGTGACTCAAATGACCCATGAGCTCCGTGGCCCAGGTGGGCGGGTCCACGTGTCGCGTGTCGCCGGACCATCGCGTTTTTTGCCGTTGACAATTAAACGCCGGCGTCCGAGCCACCGGGGATAAGCACCGCCTGGAATTCTCGCGAGCGGCGAGGGGGTAGCGCCCTCGAGGACGTGCAATGTCAAGTCTGCGGTACGGCCACGTAGACCCTTCCGCTAAAAATACGCTCCGTGACTGATGAGGGAGTAAGATAATTAATGCGAGCGGGTGGCCCTTGTCCACCGAGCGAGTTGAGCGCTTGTCGGCCAGAACAGGCGACTGGTAGCATTGCCTTCGGTGTTCTTGTTTAACTTGTCATGGTGTAATCTTGGTCATTTCCGTCATGGGGGGAGGGGGGGAAGTGTCTATACACCACTGTGTTTACATCTGAGAGAAACAAAAAAGCATATTACAAATTAACAAAATCGGCCAACTTATAAAAGGGGTCATCCACCTATGACAGATGTGATATCCACCGGAAGAGCCAGGTTATATCAACTATTTTTTATTTTACCAGGTAAGGCTCACTGAGCTATTTAGCTCTATTCAGAAGCGACCTGTATATAATGGCAGGCCCTGTAAGGATTACATGTAAAAGTGGCTAGGTAATACTTACACAATTGTGGCAAACATTTACAAAGAGAGTACATCTTTTTTTTAAATGGCACATTTTTGTAGAGGTGTAACGTAACAGTAACTAAGTTAAACAAGAGACAACTGGAGTAAACTTGGCCCCTGCTTTACCATTGCAATGGGAACTAGCAGCAGTCGCAGCATCATTAGAATGGAGGGGCCAAGATTGCCGTGTTTGTATCCTGTTGAAACACTTTCACATCGAGTCTGTTATATCGCCCTCCCTTGATCTTTCCTCTCCATTCCTGAATGAGTTCTCGGCATTAGTTGCAGACCCTTAGACATCTTTCGAAACATCACGCAGCACAACAAACACACCAGAGAGCTGTTTTTGTCTGTAATATAATATCGAAAGAATATTCTGATTTCACTTTTTTTCCCCCTTTACAGTTTGCTAATATATTTTACTCTCTCTAAATACATTACATCCTATCCCAGGTGTAGCATATCTGCTTTAAAGTTAAAATCTAATGTATTTTTTTAAGTAGGACTATTTTGTTTTTGGTCGCTAATTGTAGCTGGAATTTGGTCATTATTGTGAGATAAACTAGTTGAAAATGTAGCTCAATAAGCCATCATCATTCTGTGACAAATTTCCTCTGCAGGGTAAATTCTCTTTCCAGAGCATTCATTATCATAGGTTGTCAACATTCACCGGTTGACTTCATTCAACAATTGTATTAACATTTTAAAAAATCAATTGGAACATTGATTTAATTTGTACAGTAATGTCATTGGAATTGAGAGGCAGTCTAATTGAGTTAACTTGTTTTTTTGCACCAAATGTAACGGAATTGTTTTCCCTTCCACAAGACAGGTACACACCCTCTGTGCCTAGTGGCGAGACGTTAACTACCCAGCCTGACGGTTTTTTCCTTCACGCTTATAAACACGCGTTTAGAGTATTTGGCTGTAATGAATTTCCACGTGATAAGCCACTTCGTTGAGCTATCATTTGTGGCCAGGTCGCGTCTGAAAAAGAGCTATACAGCTTCGTGGGCCTTACCTGGTAAAATACAACTTTTGATCTAAAGCTTTAGTGACTGCAGGGATTCATATTCTTGGTTCTTTCGGTTAAAGTCACGTAGAAGGGAAACGATAAAATAATAAAAATATAAAACAATAAAATTCTCACGACGTTTCGACTGCAACACAAGCAATCATCATCAGGTGTGAAAACCACAGCAAGAAAATTTGAAAAAAGTGGCGGTTATTTATAACGTTAGCACCACGGAGAGCGATTTGACAGTTTGTTCAGATGGACGAGTCCATCTATGTTTGGAAAAGAGGAGGGGGGAGACGAAAATGATGGATGCGGTCTAAAAGCCACCGTAAGCGTGAACAATTAATTAAGACCCAAAATGATTTATCCAATCCATCCAATGATTGCTAAGCCAGAATCCATCTTCTCGGTTAAAATTGTCTCTGTGTTTGTATATGTGGATAGCCTCATGAACGAATCTCTCATGGTAGCCAGATGGCTTGCAAAGAACCTCTGTCTTGGAGAAGTCAATGTCATGTGAGCCTACTGAATTATAACAGTGATCTGCCACGGCCGAGGTGTTGGTCCTACCGTGTTTTAGGTCTGCTTTGTGTTCACAAATGCGGTTCGAGACATGTCATTTGGTTTCTCCAATGTAACTACTACCACAGAGGCAACTTAGTTTGTAGACACCAGGGTACTGTATGTCCGGAATCACATCTTTTACAGACGGAACCAGATCACAGATTTTATGTAATGTGTTGAATCGGACCTGGATCTTGTGTTTATTCAAGACCAATTCTTCGACCACATCAATTCCATACACCCAGCCATCAGATTTACCATGGAAGTCGAAAAAAAAGGCAAGCTACCTTTTTTGGATATCCTAATAAAAAAGAGACCTGATTGGTTCAATGAACCACTCTGTCTACAGGAAAGCTACCCATACGGATGCTTACCTGAAACCGGATTCCCACCACCATCCATCCCAGTAGAATTCCCTCATCAAGACTCTGCACCATAGTGCCCAATGCATATCCGACCAGGAACACATAGCCAGTGAACTCAAGCATGTACACCAAGCTCTTAAGGCTAATGGTTACTCCGACTACACAATTCGCAAAGCTATCACTCCAACCATGAAGAAGGACCCTCTTGAGGAGCCTTTCAAAACCATCACTTTACCCTACATTGCGGGGATCACAAAAAGATCTCCAAAATCTTGATTAAACACAAGATCCAGGTCCGATTCAACAGATTACATAAAATCCGTGATCTGGTTCCATCTGTAAAAGATGTGATTTCGGACATACGGTACCCTGGCGTCTACAAACTAAGTTGCCTCTGTGGTAGTAGTTACATTGGAGAAACCAAACGACATGTCTCGGACCGCATTCGTGAACACAAAGCAGACCTAAAACACGGTAGGACCAACACCTCGGCCGTGGCAGATCACTGTTATAATTCAGTAGGCTCACATGACATTGACTTCTCCAAGACAGAGGTTCTTTGCAAGCCAGCTGGCTACCATGAGAGATTTGTTCATGAGGCTATCCACATATACAAACACAGAGACAATTTCAACCGAGAAGATGGATTCCGGCTTAGCAATCATTGGAAGGATTTGATAAACCATTTCGGGTCTTAATTGATTGTTCACGCTTACGGTGGCTTTCAGACCGCATCCATTATTTTCGTCTCCCCCCTCCTCTTTTCAGAACATAGATGGACTCGTCCATCTGAACAAACTGTCAAATCGCCCTCCGTGGTGCTAACGTTAAAAATGACCGCCACTTTTTTCAAATTTTCTTGCTGTGGTTTTCACACCTGATAATGATTGCATGTGTTGCAGTCGAAACGTCGTGAGAATTATATTGTTTTATATTTTTATTATTTTATTGTTTCCCTTCTACGTGACTTTACCGAAAGAACCAAGAATAAAAATGCAAATTGTTTCTAGTTTAAATTAACAATTAACTTAAAAAAAATTCTATGTTAGATCACATTCATACTTTACATCTGCATCCTAAAAAAGAAATACTCCATCAGCAGCAGAACCACCCAGCAAGCATCATCTCATCCCTCAGGTGTAAACGGTCCCATTAATTATTTAACATTCACCAACGACGTCGAGAGTAAAATGGTTAAATTATTTTACGCTTTGTTTAAATGTCACGCGATGACTTAAGAACATGTTTATCTTGCTGGGGGACGTGACCGTGTCCCCGTTGGCCACTCTGTATTGTTTTTGAAAAATCATAAAAGGCTCGGAGTTACTCGGTCCTTTTATTTTTCTTACAAAAGATCGTTTCTGAAATATGCTTAACAAACAAGAACAATTAATTATGCATAAATATTACTCACGTGTCCTCAGGTGGCACCTATTTGCAGAATTCACCTAGAAGTGGTCTGTTAGACCCCATTTTCCACTGACATATCCAAGCTGTAGCCAGCGTCGGGCCTTCAATGACGATTTGCCGAGCTGGAACCAAACCACGAAAAGGTGGGTGACATCATGTCCCTGCAGCTCATACGTGTTTTTTGCAAAGTGAGCATGAGTGGATCGCCGAACGTGTCTCCAGGGGTTGTCAATTGTTACCTTCACAAAGGATTTTGACCTTGCTCTGCATGTATCCATCTTCTCGACTCCTCCCCTGCCAGAAGCAATGTGTGTTATGCGATTAAAAACACACGCATTGTCGTCACATCGCCATGTCTTGAGCGCACATTGTGCCCCTAAACGCGGACCTGGAGGTTGTCTCGTTCCCGCACAATTATCACGTTGACAGACACCGCCACATCGCCCATCCATTTACCTTCCTCAAGTCTTACGTGTGTTTATGTAACATAATCCTCAATGTTTACTCCTAATTAAAACAATTAGCATTTCAATACACACATCCGTATCACACTCAAACTTAATAATTCACGAGCGTGTTCCTAATGAATGGAAATAATTCCAGGGCTTTCGCCAGCAGCGAAATACACCGACAGATTAATTCACCTGGCGCAGGAAGGCAATAGTAGGGACGGCTTAGCATCTTAATCTTGCCCGTCATGCCACTGGAGCCATTCTAGCTGCCACGGGGATTTAGACTTGACACTTTAGACGCTTGATAAATCCAAATTGTGTTGTCCTTATTCGCCGTGCCACCTGCGTGTCCGTCCTCTGCAGAGAAGCCCTGAGCTGTTTATCCATCAGTTGTTAAATATAATTTCATTTGGGAGTGCTGTCAGTCAAAATGGATTGCATTTGTTTGGTGCATTATTTTGTTATACATTTTTTTAAATCCATAATTACACGTGTAATATGGCTTTTTTTCCTCCCCCCCTTTCACCCACCAAGGTGCACCATGACTTTGCGCTGAATTTTAACCCATCCAACCCTTTCTGCACAGGTAACGTTGCACAATCAATATTGGTGCAGTATTTCCTCCCCCAAGCTTTGTAGCATAATATTTATTACCTGAACGACCAAACGTGCACCTGCGTTTAGCACGTTTGGCTATGTACGGCGCGAAAGAAGTTCAAAATATATACGGGCTCAAATGAAACCGTCACGTGCTCCCCTGCAACAGCAGTAGCAGTGTCCACTTTCCGTCAATTAGCGGACAAAGTGAGCACTAATTCTGAACACTTGAGCCTGCGACACCATTGTTGTTGTGCAGTGTTCAATTATGTAAGGGCTGAACACGTGCACGCATCTCTCGCACGCTGTGTACCATCGAGACGCGCACAGAGCAGCGGGGGAGATTCACGCCGAGCGTTCCGCTCGGTCACTGTTTTTAATCATCGCGCAGGCCCTCATCGCGTGTGAAATATTGCAGAGAGAAATTTAGAAATGTTCGCACATTATGGGAGTGGCCGTTTTCAGTGCCTCCGTTAACTTAATTTTCTGTATCTGCATGAGCGAATCAAATTTGCGCAAATTTTATTCTGCTGAAGAGGCAAAGTAACCAGTATAGCCTGTTGCCGGCTTTACAGACCTGTGTAAAATGAAGTGTCCTCTGAAACTTTATGTGCAGTTGACCTAACATTTCTAGCTGAATCCAACTCACATAATCTGCTTACCTCCCAGTACATTTTAAAAATGACTTGACATGCAATTGGAATGTAACATGTATTGCAGCAGGCTATCCAGAGTGCTGAAGATGGCCCATTGCCCAAAACGTGGGTCAATAAGATATATTTTTTGCTTTAAGTCAGTGTTTATGAACGCAACAGTTGCGATGTGTTTTGGATCTGGTATATTAACATGCATTTTGGTAATTACACAGATGCAGAGAAAGAGAGGAACATATGGATCGGAGAAACAATTTATAAACATTGCGTTAACTGAAATCTTGAATTAAAGCTTTTGTGACTGCAGGAATTCATATTCTTTGGGTCTTTCGGTAAAGCCACGTAGATAGGTTGAAAGGAAATAACAGGAAAGTGAGCAGATGATGGCCGATGGATGAGAAGGGTGACAGAATAGTAAAAGGAGTGAACACACATAAGAGAGGCATCCACCATGCATAGGGAACAATAAGATCAGCTCCTACGCAGCAACTAGATGGATTGTGGCATCACAGGATGGCCACAGCATCGGGACATCTTTGTACAGCAAGCGATAGATTATCACGGCTAATGATGATGATGCATGCGTGCCTGCTTTTAATTATACACAGCTAATTTCCAACACAGCATTGACCGGTTTGTAACTCCTACCTGCGTAATTGTGTTTGCTCCGCGGCTCATGCGACCGTTGCGTGCCGCGTCGCCCCCCCCATACACCACCAGGCATCGAGGGAATCGTTGCCGCGTACCACTTCTGCCTGCAGAACATCCGGCTATATGGCCCTACAAACTTCTCTCCCATCATCAACCACGTGGCCAGCTTTGCGCACACGGCCAGCGGGAGTGCCTCCGCCTCGGTATGCTCCATACACCATATCGCACGAATAATCGTAGGTCATCGGGGATCTTGCATTTGTGCAGAGAGGGGTGGGGGAGCTGTTGAATCTCAATGGGTTTCCCGTGCGTATTTTAGTACTCGTACTAATACGCGTGCCGCGGTGGCGAGATGTTAACTACTTTGCATGGTATACAAGAGGTCGTGGGTTCGATTGCGACCTTGACGCCTGTATATTTGGAGTTTGCATGTCTCTCTCCCCATGGTCATATGGGTTTTTCTCCAGGTCCTCCGGTTTTTCTCTCCACATTTCAGAAACATGCGCTTAGAGTAGTTAGCTGCTATAAATATCTACATTAAAAGACACTTCTTTGAGCTATCATTTGTGGCCAGGTCGCTTCTGAAAAAGAGATATATAGTTCAGTGGGCCTTACCTGGTAAAATAAAAGTTTAGTTTAGTTTATTAGCGATACCTGCATGTATTTTGATAGTGTTGAATATTATTTTTCAATCATTCAAGTTGACATCCAGATTTGTCCCTCATACCAGCCCAAGGAGCCCATTATAACAGCGGCACAGTATCTTTTTCACACAATTTAGATTTTTAGTTTTTACCTCTGAAAAATATGGTAGCTGTAAGTACCGCATGAGCTAGTAGTTATGAAGACAAAAAAACCACCTCCTTAACCCTTGCCCACCCCTCGCTGCGCACAACTACGTCATCAGAACGTGTACATCATCGGTTTTTCTTCCGATTCCATTCCGATGACGTAAGTGTACATCGAATCTAAACCAGAAGAAAAACTAAAATAAAATAACTTTATCGGTACTGAGGCTCCCTCAAGGCCATGTCAGAGGGTATGTGGTGCCAGCTATCATATAATGCGGTCGTGTCGCTACAGTTCTCTGCGGTAAGTACAATGTATTTAAAAACAACGGCGCTACGCCTCTCTAAATAAATGTAATGCCGAGCCGCTTGCGCGTTCCGAGATTCCGAGGTGAACGGGAAGACCCCCACCCTGCAACTTGCAGACGTCTCGGAACGGGAAAGGGTTAAGTGTGAGCTCTGGTGTGCGGCTAAGAAATGTCAATGTCCGCCTTGTACGGTGTTTGTTGCAACAAGTTCATTGTGAAAATATGTTAATTAATTTAAATGCGAAAATTGACATATCACTGTTCCTGTGTTGCAGTTGAGGCCGGTTCCCCATTGTCATTTGAAAAATTACAAATCCTGCACATCAATTCTTCATTTTGGGACTACATACGTTTGACAGCCAGCTCCCATTCAGGCTAATTACATTGATTGGTTATCATTATCATGCATCATGAATGACGGTGCCATCCCAAAACATGGGAATTCATTATTAGATCTAATTTCAAATCTCATTTTCAAAAATCACACTCTATAGTTATTGTGAATATTATATATTTCATATCTGTCATACCTTCAATTGGCAGTAATTAATAGATAGTCTTTTTAAAGTAACAGTCACTGGGTAGCCAAGTGATTGTCACACTCGGTATTGCTTTGAGAGGGTTTGGTGGGTTGAATCTCATCTCCACCAGAAAAAAATACCACGAGGAGTTTTATTCATTTTTACCATCTGCCAATAAGCTGACTCGATAAATAATTAAATGCATCATCGATAAGTGCAGACCGTTAAAACTTATTTAGGGGTCACCTTTACAGGTGACTGAGCACACTAGCATTAGAAACGGTGTTGGTGCTAGGTCAAATATATGCCCCTCTAGTACTCAATCAGTGCGGATAAGATTTTTGCGGTGATAGGATGAATATCGCAGGAGATTTATTGTGGCCGCGGATTAGATGAAAATAAGTTGCGGGCTGAATCCGGCCCATAGGTTCCCAACCTCTGATTTGAGCTCACATCCGATGGTGCGCGGTCCCGTGGCCAGGAGTACTACGTGCTGCTGATCATCACGGACGGTGTGATCAGCGACATGGAGGCGACGCGCGAAGCCATCGTGAAGGCATCGCGCCTCCCCATGTCCGTTATCATCGTGGGTGTCGGCAACGCCGACTTTGAGGCCATGGAGGTGCTCGACTCGGACGACCGCGTGCTCACGGCGCCTTCCGGCGAGGCAGCTACCCGCGACATCGTCCAATTTGTGCCCTTTCGCCAGTTCCGCTACGTGAGTCTCGTGCGCGCACCGTACGGCCGGTGATGACGAAGGTGAATTCTGCCTTACCCTCAATTTGCAGCTCTCCCTTGCGAAATGCAGACATTTGCCAGGTTTAAGCGATGATTTTAAATTAAGTGTTTATTTTTTGATTTAAAGCTTTCGTGACTGCAGTAATTCATATTCTTAGTTTTTTCGGTAAAGTCACGTTGAAGAGAAACAACAAAATAACAAAATATATATAAAACAATAAAAAATTCTCACGACGTTTCGACCATAACTCAAACGGTCATCATCAGGTGTGTCGGTTTGCATAAATTTATTTTGAAAACGGCATAAGAGGAATGATATTGTAGTTCTCTCAGCTGACAAAGGCAATGCTACTGTCATCATGGATAAAATAGAATACAACAACAAAATTAAAGAATTACTCGACGATGGTAGTTATACAAAAATAAAAAGAGATCCCACCAACAGCCTCGTCACACAAACCAACAAAATAATTTCTGATTCAACCGCATTAATTGATCAATCTAAACAGTTTTCGTTGAAACCTTCTGCTGCCAGGCCACCAAGATTATACGGCTTACCAAAAATACATAAAGTTGATACACCTCTTCGTCCCATAGTCTCTACTATCAGCTCCCCCACCTATAAACTAGCTCGTTTTTTGTCTGAAATCCTGCGTCCTTTCACTGGAAAGACCACCTCTGCGGTACAAAATTCTACTCACCTGGTATCAACAATCAAGGGTATTTCCCTGTCCCCAGACGACCTGCTTGTCAGTTTTGATGTAGTTTCCTTATTCACCAAGGTTCCTGTACCTGACACCATTGCAATCATTGAAGACTTGGTTCATCAAGGACTAAACACTGAGGTACCCCCCCTGGTGAGACACTGCTTAACCAACACATACTTCACCTGGAATGGAACTTTCTACAAACAAACTGAGGGCACCCCAATGGGCTCCCCCCTTTCTCCAGTTATAGCTAACATTTTCATGGAGAAATTTGAGACTGACGCCATCCAGACTGCCACTCTGCGCCCAACCTTATGGAAGAGGTACGTGGATGACACTTTTGTCATCTGGCCACATGGCCGGCCTGCTCTAGACCAATTCTTCGACCACATCAATTCCATACACCCAGCCATCAGATTTACCATGGAAGTCGAAATAGATGGCAAGATACCTTTTTTGGATGTCCTAATTAAAAAAGACCTGATGGTTCAATGAGCCACTCTGTCTACAGGAAAGCTACCCATACGGATGCTTATCTGAAACCGGATTCCCACCACCATCCATCACAGAAGAATTCTCTCATCAAGACTCTGTATCATAGAGCCCAATGCATATCCGACCAGGAACACATAAGCAGTGAACTCAAGCACGTACACCAAGCTCTTAGGGCTAATGGTTACTCCGACTATACAATCCGCAAAGCTATCACTCAAACCATGAAGAAGAACCCTCTTGAGGAGCCTTTCAAAACCATCACTTTACCCTACATTGCTGGGATCACAAAAAAGATCTCCAAAATCTTGAATAAACACAAGATCCAGGTCCGTTTCAACACATTACATAAAATCCGTGATCTGGTTCCGTCTGTAAAAGATGTGATTCCGGACATACAATACCCTGGTGTCTACAAACTAAGTTGCCTCTGTGGTAGTAGTTACATTGGAGAAACCAAACGCCATATCTCGGACCGCATTCGTGAACATAAAGCAGACCTTAAACACGGTAGGACCAACACCTCGGCCGTAGCAGATCATTGTTCTAATTCAGTAGGCTCACATGCCATTGACTTTTCCAAGACGGAGGTTCTTTGTAAGCCATCTGGCTTCCATGAGAGATTCGTTCATGAGGCTATCCACATATACAAGCACAGAGACAATTTCAACCGAGAAGATGGATTCTATCTTAGCAATCATTGGAAAGATTTGATAAATCATTTCAGTTCTTGATTGATTGTTCACGCTTACAGTGGCTTTCAGACAGCATACATAAAAACAAATTTCGTCTCCCCCCTCCTCTTTTCAAAAAATAGATGGACTAGTCCTGGGCAAACTGCCAATCGTTGCGCGTGACGCAAACGTTATTTTTTTTATATAAATAAATAAATAAATATGCCGTTTTCAAAATAAATTTATGCAAACCGACACACCTGATGATGACCGTTTGAGTTATGGTCGAAACGTCGTGAGAATTTTTTATTGTTTTATATATATTTTGTTATTTTGTTGTTTCTCTTCAACGTGACTTTACCGAAAAAACTAAGAATATAAGTGTTTATTGTTTAAAAATAAATCCATTGTACAGGGGTCACCCAACAGAGTTGCTTGTTGTTCAGGTCCGTAGATCGCCTGCTAATCAATAAAATAATTTCGTCAATATTTTGTTCTATGAGGAATAACTGAGTTTCAAGACTCTCTGTCTGCTTTTGAGAATGTATTTCTGTACTGCTTCCTCTTGGCCACCTTGCAGCCAGGCTGAAGGCTCTTCTGTCTATAATTAACTCTCACTCGATTAAATGTCTTAAATTACATTTTTTAAAGATTTCATCTGATCTTCTCTGGCCTTTATCTTCCTGCTCGCAACCATCTCACTCCTGCACATGAACCGATCTCATCCCTCCATCTCCACGGTGGTTTGGACGTATTGTATAAAATAAAATAAATCTGCGACTCCTGGTCGTGTATGCAGGCCGCCAAGGAGGAGCTGGCCAAGAGCGTCCTGGCTGAGCTCCCCGGTCAAGTGGTGCAGTACTTCCGTCAGAGAAACCTGTCTCCGATCAACTCGACGCACACCGACTGACCCTGTCCCAAGGAACCTCACCATCTGCTGGGAGACTCAACGTGGCCTGTGCTCTTGCCAATTCACTCAAACAAAGCTGGTTTTTCCTGGAATCTTGCGGTGAAAACAAACCAAAACGAAAAAGTGTTATCCTTGTTACAATATTTGGTACTTTTTATGTCGCTATTTTATATGTTGGAGCCCGTTAATTTTAGTTTTGCACCTCCGAATTTTTATTCGTCAAGAGTCAGCGACGATCTTCAGCGTTTGCCCCGACACTAGGCTCACGGCCGTAAATATTTCAAGCATGCTTCGTCCCGTAACACTAAAGGATGGAACTGCCCATGCTTTAATGACGTCGCTCATATTTGTAGGTACAGGTTTTACTGGTAGGAACCTCCTGGTTACACCAGCCCACAGGGGATTTTTGTGTCTGTCCGTCGTGCATCCACAATTTGGAGGGGTGGGGCTGGGTGGAGAGTGGAGGGTGAAATGGGGCTGGGTGGGAAGGGTGGGGAGGGGCTGGTTTGTGCCCGCCCTCACAGTCGAACATATTTGCGGAATACACCACGTGGTGCCGCCGTTGACCCTGGCCATTGACCGAACAACCCAACGTACCTACCAGCTCCCTCCACAGGAATTTGTTTCTTGTCTCCACTAATAAATAAAGTTCTCCAGATTGTATTTCTGTTCTATTGTTTTGCTGTCGCAGCTGCCCTCTCTCCACTGGACACAGTTTTCCTGCTGCCCCCTTCTCGTCCCCCACCTGTAATATTTGCTGTTCCCGTAATGCAGGTGCTGGGGAAAGGTTGCAGTGTGTTAACGATGACTGTAATTTGTTCTTAACTGCGCCGGAGTATCAATGGCGTCAGTGGAGATGAGGGGGGATATTCACACATTCTGAACTCAATGCCAAACAAGGGTGTTGGTGTCTGACTGTTTCCCTGGGGGAGAAAACCAACACTGGAGGTTTTGTCGGGAACACCTCGTGGTGGTTCACGCGTCGGTCACTTCCAGTGGTGTCTTTCCTCGCTGCGACTGCACTTTGTCCGTACGCGATCTCGCGCGCGGTGTGACGTTTAACGGTGCCGCCGTGCAAACTCTGCTCCATTTGTGAGGGGAGGGTGACTCCTACAAAAGTGTTTAGGCGATTTCACACGCGCCATAGTTGCTTAACTCCTGCTCATGAACGGGTGTCGCTTGAACGCAAGCTGCGCGATGGAATCATTGAGCCACTTTCACAAGAGCAAGGCGGTAAGGCTTTGCCGTTAGCCGACGTTGTCAATCGCCGTTTGATTTGAGACGGGGGGGCAGCGGCAACATCGGGTTTTACCCGTCGTCTGCGCCTCGCCGCGGGTGCTGTGTGAGAATGATGAGTGCCGTGTAAATGTCACTCGAGTGTAAAATGTTTCATTTACGCTAGATTGTTTCCGTCATGTACTTGTATTGTTAATAATGTAATTTTTGTAAGCGCTCTGTCAAGTGTAACTTTAAATCAGTAGGCTCGGCATTGTGGCGCTGAATGGCTCGTGACGGTAGCGTCGGTTGCTAATGATGACCCTTTGTATACCGTAACGAGAATATGTGTAACAATTACTATGCTTGGTTGTAAAAAAGCATTTTGTTTCTTTTTTAACGCAAGGAATTCCATTCGCTTTTTTTTACATACTGCAGTTGATGAGGAAATTGGGTTCAAGTGAGTTAACGAGACCAATATTTTTCGTCCTGTTTTGCTTAATGCACTCAGTCAGCGTCAGCGCCTGACCTCCGCTAATGGAAACGTTCAACATCGTGGCAAGACAGGTCGAGTTGGGTCGAGCGTAGCAGCCTCTTTGTTCTGCGTTAACGCCGCATTGCAGGACAACCTCCTGCCGAATGTTGGAGGCTACACAAGGGTTTGTCATCCCTCCCGCTGAGTTTAAAAATAGTCCGAGTGATTAATGCTCCAGGCGGCAGCCCTGGGTTCGCTCCACTGTGATCCTTTTCAAAGTGTAAATTGCGCACGCGCGTGCACACCAAATGCGACAGCGTCCTCAACGTTCGTACGCAAGTGCGTGCCATCATCGTTATGCATGAGCTGTACTTTTTTTCATTGTGTCATCATCATGCTGGTCTTAATTGTATCACGAGAAAAAGAGAGAGAGACGAAAAAGTACCTGAATTACATTTGTTTTTATTCTGTACAGTCACACACACACACTGTGGCCAATGTAATGTTCAGCCAAAGCATGCCTTTGTTGACATTCAAAGCCGCAGCAGCAATGAATGGCATGAGACTCGCCACTCGAAAATGTTTTGTACAAATGTTGCCAAGTCGTGGCCTCTATCGAGCAGTGTTCTTTATTTCCCTTTGTCTTTATGCAATGGGATCTTTGCTTTGTTCCGAAGTTGTGATCGAAAGTTGAGTAAGACACCAATTTGCTGAAATGGAAAAGAATCGGAACATAAAAAATGGTAAAAAAAACAATAAAAAATGTTAACTGACATTTATGTTCATAATCAATTTTAATCTTTATACGCCAAGAAAGGCTTTTTCCAACGATGTTTACAGTGGTGAGGTGTTTTGTTCCTTTATTAAAGTTCTTTGGCAAAAATGCCTCCGCTTCTGTTGTGTTTTAGTTGGGAGGGGAGAGTGGTAAAGAATGTTGAGTTGGCTATGAGCCCTGATAGGAGATTCAGACAATGACAAAGATCCCCCTCATATGGCCTTAGCAGACTGGAGGAGCAAGTGATGTTCGTGAGTAGCGCCGATAAAGGCCGGCACGGCACACGAGGGGTGGCCAGAACCACGCACGGCCGCGTTTGTCTCCCGAGTTGCAATATATACACACCGCACGAGCTACTACTTTGAGGCTGAGTCGACCTAGGGGAGGCCCAGCAACGGTTCAGATAATCGTCACAGGTGTTGACCGTGATAATCGAACCCGTGTCGCCGGGTTCGTAGCGCAGCGCTCATAACCGCTGCACCACCACTCCCTAAAAAGGGCTCGCCAATCAGCACTTGAATGTGTTTTTTATTCCGTCCATGTGGCACCACTTCCAGAAAGCCTTCAAGATGTTTTTGATGGCATGACAGAGCATATGCTTCGCAGAAACAGTCGATTGCATTTGTACATTCAGATAAAACAATTATCGAAAGCACTTTAATTGCATCATTTTAAAATATGACGTTTCTTTACAGAAAGTGACGGTAAAAAAATAAATCAACGCAGCACAGTGTTACGTCCGTGCGTGACGTCACTGCAAAGAGCCCCCCCCCCCTTCATTAATATTCATGCCCGCGTGTAAATTTACACTAACGTACAAGAAGGTCGTGCACTCCACATGCCGCACCCCCTCATTAATAATCATGAGCGGGTGACGTCACTCCACATGCCGCACCCCTCCACAATAACCATGAGCGGGTGACGTCACTCCACAGGCCGCACCCCTCCACAATAATCATGAGCGGGTGACGTCACTCCCCATGCCGCACCCCTCCACAATAACCATGAGCAGGTGACGTCACTCCACATGCCGCACCCCTCCACAATAACCATGAGCGGGTGACGTCACTACACATGCCGCACCCCTCCACAATAACCATGAGGGGGTGATGTTACTCCACATGCCGCACCCCTTTCCTCATGAATATTCATGAGCGGGTGACGTCACTCCACATGCCGCACTCCTCCCCAATAACCATTAGCGGGTGACGTCACTCCACATGGGGCACCCCCCCCCCCTCATTAATAATCATGAGCTGAACAATTTTTATATTGAATAGTTCAGATTTACTGCAATATACACTCGTCCTCGGACGGGCAAATAAGCTAGCTTTAAATTAACAGACATGTTTCGATTTAAAGCTTTCGTGACTGCAAGGATTCATCTTCTTTGGTTCTTTCGGTAAAGTCACGTAGAATGAGAATAAAATAATAAAATAACAATAAAATTCTCACGACGTTTCGGCCACAAGGCCACTTGTGTTGTGGCCGAAACGTCGTGAGAATTGTATTGTTATTTTATTAATTTATTACTTTATTCTCATTCTACGTGACTTTACCGAAAGAACCAAAGAAGATAACAGACATGTATTTCTGACATGCTATTTGCAAACTCATTCTAGAATTGATTTTTGTGTTTTGTTTATTGTCCTTCCCCCGCATCTCAGATTTGCACGGTTGGCTATGTACAGTGTGAAAGAAGTTCAACACACATTAAGGCTGGTTATAATTATTACAGGGCTGTAAATACATCAGCAATAATGTGGTCTCGCAAACCTACTTATTCACGGGCCTTATCGTTCCAAGCTGCGCTTCTGAGTGCGGAACAAGAAAACCTCTTAAAATCTATTTCCCAAGCGGTCTGATCCTTGGCAAGTACACAAACAGAACCTGATTTTAATCGTAAGTCCAGGAGACAGAGGAACGAGCATAGCCAATGCATACATCTATCAGCGTCAGCTTCTGCTTTGAACGTAGATAGATGGTCAATGTTGAGCAGGATGACACGATATTCACATGGCCCAGTCGTAGTGCGTGCACCGCTTTCTTTTTGCAGAGAGGTTCACCGTTTGAATCAAGCGGCCGCCTTAATTAATTATTACTGCGGGGGTATATTTACTGCGGTGGACCCATCAAGTTTCCGTGACGTAATTCGCAAGAGTAGGGCCATTGTGTGCCGGTGTCATCCAAATTGGAAATTTGAACAGTTGATTTACTCAATTATAATATACATCGCAGTCATCACCCCGACTGTTGCAACGTCTTGGCAGGACCCTCCTTACAACGAATCGTGAGACTTGGTTGAGGGCTCTTCTGCATAAACAAGCGTAACAACAACAATGAATAACGCAACTCGGCACTTTGGGCACACGCTCCCACGATGTCCCCGCACTGAGCGGATGTCATCTCGCCGTATCCATCTCTTCCGACTTCCCATGAATTTTAACCAACATCACTTGGGGGCCGTCCATAAATGACGTCACGCACCTAGTGGGGGGGGGGTGGGGTCAGACATTTGTGACGATGTGTGACGAGGGGGAACGGTTTGAGAAATGTGACGTCACATCAAATGCGCAACTTTAAATAAAGACAACACGTTCTACTGAATTAAATAGACTTTTTTTAAATAAATGTTTTCTCCTAAAACATCAGAGTGCAGCGGCACATAAAATACGCACTACGATGACAATAGTTTAAAGCGATTTGGAGCATGTTTTAAATATTTGAGGGTGGTTCTGACTTTTTGTGACGCCGTGTGACGAGGGGGGAGGTCAAAAATCGTCCAAAATCGCGTGACGTCATTTATGGACGGCCCCTTGCTCGATAGTGCGACTCGAGCAGCGAAACCTCGCAGGTCGACGACTCCTGTTCGCAGGCTAAAGCACGTGTCCGGCGGATGATGTTGCTCAGGCAATGTGATGACGGGCTTGGCATGGTATATCCCATCACTGTAGAGTTTCCCCAACCGCTTTAGGCTAATTATTTTTGCAGTTACG